TGTCTTCTGCGCACATCTGATGAGTGTTCACATACCCCAGTTACTGAACGCATGTCGACTCAGTCCGTTCCAACACTCCATACCCTGGATGAAGCGGACATAAAGGAAGAGAAGGAATGGCAAAAGGTTCTGGGTAAAAACGACAGCGCTTGCGGCACCCGTGAATCCCCATCCCATCCTCCAAACGAAAAACCAGTTAGCCAGCACGTTCAGTGGTGCACCAATAAGCAGAACGAATGTGGTGGCGTGGAAGAGACCTTGGGCTTGGACGAAGCGCTTGCCGCTCTCAAAGGCCGCCACTCCAGGAGTTCCGAGAATTAGGACTCGAAGATACATGCCGGCCAGTGCTGCGGTATCCGGATCGGGGATAATGCGATTCAAGACGCCACCCGAGAACCACCATAGTGTTGCAATGGGCAGAAGCAGAAGCCATAAAAGATAAGTCATTCTCTGTAGCTGAAGTCCGACCAGCTTCTTGTGCCCAGAACCAAATGCCTGGGCGCAGAGCGTATCCAAGCATGTCGAAAGCCCCTGAACTGGAGCGTAACATGTGATGTTGGCCGTCATGGTAGCAAGACTGACTGCTCCGAGCTCCAAGCGCCCAATTCGTCCGACTGTAAAGACACTGGTCACGGTGACCGAGTAGTGCAGCAGGAAAGTCACGATAAGTGATCGCGAGTACTTGGTAATTGTCTGGGCCTCCCGTTGCCAAGTTGTCTTGAGCATGTTCTGAGCAACAGCTCGTTCCCACTGATTGATCTCCTCGCTGATGGTTGGCGATGGCGGCAAAGGATACTCCTGAAGGAGCGGTGTCTCCTCGAAGGCCTTGTCTGAGACAGGGACCTTGGTGCTAAACAGACGACGGTACATTTTTTTCCATAGAGGATCGTCGGGTGACCGAGGATGCTTGGGTGGGAGCAGATGGTTATCGCGAAGAAGACTGCGTTCTGCGGCGCGCGATTCGACAACATCGGTCTCGCAAACAATCGGACTACCTTGCATTTCGCTGGCGATGATGGGTCTGAGGGTGCCATAAGCGACACCACCAGGCCGTGAGACGAGATGACCAACGGGTAGAGACCCGACATCGATAGGCGGTTCGACATCTTCCTCATCATCGGAGCGGCATTCCTCGTCTCGTTCATGTTGCTCGTCATCCTCCAACTCTGCTAAATCCCTGGCGAGGATCTCTTGGGCGATTGGTGCGGTGGACAGGTACGAGGTCCCGAGAAGGGATACTGTGTCGAAGATGGTTTCATGGAAGTCCCGAGACTCCCTACGTGCGGCAGACCCCCTACGTCGCCCGGACGACTGAATGGGCATAGGTGGTGAGGCCATGATGAATGGTACTAGAAATCCAAGAACAGTTGTAAGCTATGGTCCCTAGACCTCGTGATGGCATCCGGGGCTTCAGAACGGTGGGCAAGAAAGCCTATGTGCAGTTCTTTGGGGTGTTCGTGGAGGACAGGTGGGTAGGGAAAGGATCATGATCGTCGGGACGTAGAACTAACCTCTGCAGCAAGTGGTGAAGATGACGGAAACACTCGACGGAATAAGAATGACTTGACGGAAAGAGGTCAATGGCCTTGAAATGGCGAGGGGCAAGTTTTATATCCTGTCTGCACAAGGCAGGTAAAGGGATGGATGGAGGGGCAGATCAGATAAAACACTTTTGGAGCAAACAGGCTGGCCAAGCATGAAGTCAAGCCAACCTACTGCGCGAACAGAAAGTGGCGACTCCGAGTGGTCTCCGTCGTCACTGCACCGCACTCCGGACTCCGATCAGCAAGCTGGCCCAAATTGGCAGGAGAAGGTACTTGGTGTACTGTAGAAAACTGAACACCGTCAATTGTCTTCACTACGTACCTCTTTCCCCCATCCATTGCACCATATCAGCATCTCAGCATCCTACATCTGCAGTGCGCTCTCAGGAATCTGTGCACTGGAATCCATCGACAAGGGTGGGAAGCGATCGGGAGTACCACATTGCGCAGCATCGTCCACCGGCAGGTAATCACCGTGATCTCGGGTCTCTGCCGCGACCACCTCAGTTCCCTCAATGAAACCGTTGAGAAAACAGCGTAATGTGTCACGTCGGAAACGTGATTCCACCTGCGATTTGCGACGGGAAGCCAGGCTCTGACAGGTTCAGTTGGTAGGTGCCACCTTATCCTCGAGATGGGCTTTCGAAAACTCCGGACACCGTCACCGGCGGCTACCTTTGTCTTTGGAAGGGGGGCAAGTCCACAACGGCCAACCGCTAGCCGGCCCACCGTGGTCTGTCTCTGCCGTGACTACCTTGCAACACATGTGAAGGCGGATAAAGAAATATGTGCGGTTTCCAACATTCAGACGGAGTGGGAGGTAACGCCTTCCCGGACTCTCGTCCAATGACAGGCGACAGGTGCGAGGTTCTTGATGACGCTTGAGGCTGTGGTGAGGGGGGGCATGACGGTGTTGTGCAGCCCGTATATTAGGTATGGATGGTGGTGGCAGCCGTCACAGAAAGGACCAAGGTCGAAATACCTACAACCAGGATTGAAAAAGGAGGATGTCGCGCGAAAATGATAATGGTGTCGAAAGCGAATTCCAGTCCTTCAGTGGCTGCGACTGCCTCCTGAGACGAGACTGCAGGTACACTACAGGTGGAAGTAACTTGTACCCACTGTATTTTCCAGTCCTTGTTGCCTTTCAGTTGTCGTTGTTGTCGCTTTCTTTCGACTCGGGCCATTTCCGAGCAATGTGTTCCTTGGAATCCCACTCCCAATAGTATTGTAAGTGGACAGGCTCCTTGGCTCCATGCATCTGCAGTGGTTTGAGACTTGGGGCCAATGTACGCCGTCTTGGAAATCGCCTCCATTGCCGATCATCTCAGAACTTGGGGTTTCACAGAACTACCGCTCCATTATAAGGCGAGCGAATCACGGACAATATCTGGCTCGTGAGAAAACGCAACCAGCCCGTTGGTGATGCAAGGAGGCTCAAGGCTCAAAATCCGTCGACAGAATGGAAGAAAGCCGGTAACCCGTGGCAAGGGCCTACCATCATCTTTGACCGTCAGGTGGTGGCATGCTAAAATGCACATCATCATCCGTCGCCCTCGGTCTGTTCAGTCTTCCATCACGGCGATACACAATGCCCACAAGTCCTTCACCGATTGTCGCACAATGGCTGGCCACCTGCAACGGTTGGAGAACCCTGCCAACCCTGCCAATGAAGTGGCATCCGATGCAGTGCGGATAACTTGAAGTCGACTACACTAGGTGAAAGAACTGAATCCGAGGGCTTAGAATACCTCCGTGGCTTCTGCACAGTGGGTGAGCGCCCATTCCTCCGACTCTGATGCCGTTGGTGGGGGCGCAAGGGCGCAATTACAGTGGAAGCTACCCCTCACGAGCCCTCAGGTAGTCTCGACAAACGGAGCTGTCTACCCGCCTGTGGCACCGATTGTTCAATGACAGTGACGAAACAGTCAGTCTGAAAATGGCGCATGTTTCACACAAGAGATAAGGATTCTTCTTTTTCTTTTTATCTTGAGTCAAAGCCGGCAGGGCGATGCTCAATAGGCCGGTGTTCCAAACCTGGTCATGGTATTGTCTCTGGACAAAAAAAGAAACCACCAAGATCCCCTGACCATCTGGGTTTTTGCGTATGCCGTAGTGCGGCTGCATCCCCCCTTGCTGCCATCACTGCCTGCAACCTGAATGCACGATCACCGAGAAGGAAGGTTTCAGTATCGAATTCAGATCTCTCCTACCTTACAGGCAGTTACTGGACTGAATGGCGAGTCTCTGCAGGAAGCTTGGACCACGGACTCTTATCACGACGTCGCTTCCACTGAGGCACGTGGCCGACGCCAATGTGCTGCGCCTCTGCTCTTCATTGAGCAGTCTACTCGTCCGAGGAGATCGATCAACACGGTAACCACGATGAACACGAGGGTAGAGTCGATCCCTTGCGGGGAATAATACTTGTCGGAATATACCTCTACGCACCATTTCAACCCAAGGAGCGCGGGATGCCCACTCGCTTGACACTGACCACCATCAAGCTTCACTTTTCGCCATGACTTGGATGCCATGAACTATTTCTACAACTACACCATCATCTCTACGCTCATTGGCCTCGAGAGTTGCGGTGTGAAAGCCACATCGCATGCCCAGCCGATACATGGCCTTTTGCAGTTGCCAATCTGGGTATCCCGTCGCTATAAATTGTCGGTACTCAAAAGATTGTCAACTTTCGGTGGTGTGCACGACCCCATCCTAAATCAAACCCATCCCGCCCCAGTTATGCAGCATAACGCGGATTTGAAGACACTACGCATTCTTTCTGCTACACTATTATCAAAATAGGCTTTATGATTGTAACCTGAACTACAGATGTGTAGCATTTTCACTTCAGTTTCTGATTGTAGTAGACCCCACTGCTCCGTGGCTCCAACATTGAGTGACATGGAGGCCTCCGTTAGGGTCACCATCTTAGCCTCTGACAGTTCCATCACTCCCAAGTGGGTCTTCATCGAGGAAAGCAAGACGAACAAGTTGTACTCTTTTCAAGAAGTCCAGTATCTTCACCCGCCTGTCTTTCTATCAGAGCAACTTTACCTTTTCGTCTGAGTTCTTCTCTGTATCATCACAACTATGTGAGCAGAGACAACCCAGACTCACGCAACATATGAAGGCCATCCACCTGACAGCTTCGCACAGTCGAGGACAAGCACACATTGCACCCCAGAAACATATAGCTTTGTCTCAGTCTTAAACCTTTGTTCCTTGACTACTCAACCCAAGCAAAAGTTCTTTTTACTTTTTGAGAAAGCACCTTTTTTGACCAGCCTCCCTGCAATCTACCATGCCACCCCCCTACCGTGACAAGAAGTCTAAATGGACATGAAAAAGAAAGCCGTGCTGTCGAGCACCGGCAGACGGAGCCTCCATAAGACAAAGCCGAAACATGATATGTGACTCGTGATCATGAGTCGCGACTAACCAACCATCTCAGCACCTCCTCCACTCAAAGTCCCAGGTCTCGCTAGTCGCCTCAAAGTACGACTTTTCGTTGCGCAGAGCACCACGGAAGTTGATGTTTAGAATTCCAAACCCGTCATTCGAGGACGTGGTGCATGATGACCAGGCCTTGTCGGTGAAGTGGTTTTGGAGGGTCACTGCCTTGTCGATTCTGGACGAGCCGTCGTTGGCGAGTTGTCCCTTGCTGGTGGCCTGTTTTGTTGTTTCCCCCGTGCCATCTATCAGTGTCTCGTTTCCTTCCTTATTACTTGCTCATTCTCGAACAAAGAACAACAACAACACAGATCAAAGACTTACAGAATCATCCGCACTAGAGCTAAAGTAAACAGTCGAAAAGTAATCCAGCGTCGCGCCCGGGTCCAGCGTCACGTGGCCGTCCACGTACGTGTCCTTGACGGAAACCTGCCAGCCCGCTGACACTCCCTGGGCCTGCATGTGCACCTGGCAGTTGGCTGTCCGGTTCACCGTGTTGGGGTACTCGATGGCGAAGTGGTTGAAGGTGAGGGTCGGGTTGTCCAGGCTGCCGCTGAACCGGGCCTGTGTCTGTGGGCATCCGCTACCTGAGTAGCTGATGGAGTTGATGCGCGGGGTTCCTGCTGGGGACTCGGCGAGGGCGAGGGTGGTGAGGAAGAGGAGGGTGGTGAGTGTACTGGTGATGGTACCCATTTTGAGTGTGGTTCTATGTGTTGTTCGAGATGGGTACTATAGCTGACTTCTGTCTAGGTAATACCTAGTACTGTGGTGATGATCGATGTCCTGGTGTTGAGCAGGTGGAACAAGTTTTAAGGGTTAGGTTATTGCAGTCAAGAACTTCCGAGAGAGTTCAGTGGTTGAGGGGTATTGTTGCAAGTGATGATGATGATGATGATGGATGGCAGTGAGCAAAAAAGAGGGAAGTTGGCAACTGAACAACAGGGTTTCTCATGTCCTTCTTATGGAGACTGCTAACGTGATACGACTTGGACTATAGGTACCTTTCACCATCCCTCTCTTCCCCAGATACTAAACACCTTCAAAAAGTGGTCTAGATTAACCATCGTTGTGACGGACGGAACGTGGTAGACCTTGTTTGCCACGTTAAGCACGTAGGTCAAATTAAATGACGGAAGCGTGCAATGCATCTCAGGTAAATGGAAGGTCAAGTTTGATTCGCCTGCCGGTGTCATTAAATTGCCAGATGGGCCCTGTTGGTAGCAGTACCACTCATTCATTCTCCGGGAACCACACTACACCTCTAGAGGGGACCTTACCACAACAAACCCAAAGGAACCAAGAGGCGCAAAGAGAGAGAGAGAGAGAGAGAGAGGGGGAGAGAGAGAGAGAGAGAGTTGAAATGTGTTGAACCAGACTTTGGATGCGGACCTTCTGAGCCCTATTTATCCATATTGGCTACCCGCGAATCCGCGCCACCTGGATTCGAATTGGACCAACGGCTCAATTATTACATGTAGTCCCCCAAGTCCTATATATTAACCACAGGTTGTCCCAAGTGGCCAGGCCCCATGTGCTGGGAAGGGTACCTCTACCAAAAATAGCTGTGCCATGCCCTGTACTGAACTGTCAAGTGTGATTCCGTTATCATCATTGGTTGCCCGAGTTTGAGGTAGTAAAAGGTAGATAAACTGTAACTCTAATGTCCATGTCCCGAACGTTCATCTACCTCTAGGTACTACCTTAATCGATGTAGGTTTGGTACCAAGGTAAGGTTCCACTATAAGGTAACGGTAGAGATGCAATGTCTGGGATGGTCGACTAGGTATCTATTGGGGTTCGCTTCTTTTCTTGGTTTGGCTTGGGGTGACTAGAGATACCTACCTACTGTTGCGATTGAACGGTTCGACCAACAAATCAGGATAGGTAGGTCCCTTACCGGACTGGGGCGCACTATACCGTGAAATGTTTTTTTTTTTTTTTTTTTTCCATTGGGGAATGGAAGAAGTAAAAGGAGCAGAGGGTTCCGTGACCAATATCAAGCTGTAGAGATAGCAGGTGTAGAGGTACTATGCAACTACCTACTGACGGCAAAGAGGGTCAAACTATTCAGGTCCCAAGTGCTTAATAACCAAAGGCACCGAATTTGTACCCAAGTTCTTTCACGGCAGTTGTAGGGTAAGTAGGTAAGGTACTTGGGATGAAAGAGCTCTCATTCATAGCAAAGACAATTATAAGGCCGATAACAACTCGCATTGTTGAAACGCAGGTTGTTTGAAGCAAACCTATCTGTGCAGTGGAAAAAAAGGTTTGAACCTTCAAATGGATTTTCAGGGTCCAGTGGGACGGACGGACGGCCGGACTAAATAAACAACCCAGGCATTGACAAAGTCCCGAGACTACTTACAGCCAAGAGTCTATGACTGCCTGGAACACGAAAAATTGCTGGGCCGTTATTGTGCTGCAGGAAAGTTAATATGCAGGACCACTGAAAGACGTTAGAACCCAATAAAGGGGTCATATGGTGCCATGCGTGATGAGGTGGTAGTGCAATATCCGGCTTCTAACATGGGTCTGGAATCTCCCAACTCGATTCTGGGGTAGTGCCGTTCACGCCGTTGACGACTACCTACCTTACTTTTTCCGTCAACCTTCTCGACAGAGCATCATGCGAGATCACATGCACTGAAAAAGATTCGGGGTTCAATGATACATATGTCTGCATGGAATGTGACGAAAGCTCATCCCATCCTGGCCTGGACCTTGCCCAGAGTCCGTGAACCTCGCTTGGGTGACGCGTTGACTCGTGACAAGTTGGAATCCGGAGCGGTTCTCGATCCACTTCACCTGCCCCGGATGGAGTGACTGGCGGAGAGCGGGACCATGAAAGAGGTCGCTTCGGTAGATAGGTAGGTAGGTAGGTAAGCAGTGTCACAACCGAACTAATCCCGTTCTCGCACCTGCGATGGTGGTTGAGGTTGTATCGTACCCGCCTGACGTTGACGTCAGGTAGGTAGGCAAGAAAGGTTCGTCCCTGGAACTGCTAGTGACGGAAGGAGAAGTCTGATGCTTGGGGCTATGGTATTGTTCAGTTTTCGTCGGCCACCAATCCATTCAAACGCGGATGCCGGAAACTGCGGCATGCAGTGCAATACTAAAAGTAAGTACAGCAGGACCATAATGCAGTCGGCAGTGCTTCAAGCGTTCAGGTTAGGTGTATTCTGTCATGCTCAGCTCGACAACCAGTGCGTGCAGTGCAAGGCGGAAAGCGTCATTGAGCGAACGAGTGCCCTACTGACACTGCAGTGTACGCAGGCACCGGAAACAGCTAGAAGACCGAAGCGTTCAGTTAGTCAAGCTGAGTTGTTCTTGATGGAACGAGTTGTACTCCTTAGAGGTACGTACAGTAAGTACTAAACGAAGTACCAGTAGGTGATAGACGAATGGGACTGACGACGGGAAGAGCCAACAAAGCCCCAAGAGTTGGAGTGAGCGAGGAATGAAATTGAATACAAAAGTGCCGACAGGAAAATGTGTGAACGGCGCAGGGGAGTGGGTGAGTGACGACGGCAATGTCTGGGAGACTGACTGGTAGTGACCGGCCCGTGACCACTTCCGGAACACTCGGACAGACGGATTTGTGATCTCGAACACTCAGAAGCGGCGGGTCGGAACCGCAGGCCAGCTTATCTCCGGGCCGCTCACTACAGCGAGTGAGACCAACGATGGCCTTCGGCTGGTGTACTTACTTGATTGTACAACGATCATGATCGTGAAGTGCAGTGCCGTGGTGTAAACTTCACTGCCGTTTACAGGTTCCTGCCCCTGGGCTCCGTCTGAGCTCGGACCACCCCCCAGTACGGTCCAGCTGTGTCCTGTACAGGGGGGTTAGGGTTCTTTCCAGCCGATGGCCCATGCCCCCACTGCAGGAGTTTTCTTTGATTCAGACATCAAGATGAACAACCAAGAACCACCAGCAGACGGATTCACAGGTTGACTTAAACAATCCTTCATGTCACTCATTCATTAGCTGCCTATATAGGTACCTAGGTAGGTACCCTATGAGTATGACTTCATGCACTAACGTTTACCGTAACCAACATTTGGATTCCATCATTATGCTGTTCATCCCGCAATGAGAGGAGTGAGGTTCCCGCAATGCACGACTTCCTTCGTATACAAGCTTCAGCCCCCCCCCTTTGCGCGCGGGTGGCCTAAAACCCTTTCTCCAAAGGGGTGTCCAAATCCATCTGCCGATTCCAAAACCAACTCTTAAACTATATCAAACGCCGCACAATCGTCAGAATCATTGCTTCTTCTGCTCCTGAGTGGTAACGACGTATTCGTCACTCTCGTACTGGGGAAGCGCACCACCCTCTTCGAGTTTGGCCAAGTCGGCAGGAAAGTAGATGCCGTCAATAGGAACCGGGTCCTGGTTGTGGAGGTACATAAAGTAGTAAAACATTCCACAGAAGCCGCCGCCGCCGATGACGTTGCCGAGGAGGGAAGGAATGATGCCTGTGGTCAAAAAGTGTTAATTTCTTCTACACCGCGAAGGGTCCTAACCAAGATAACATACCCTTCCAGATGTAAAGGCCTACAGTGACACCGGGGGTGTGGTGCCAGATACCAAAGGGAATGTAGAACATGTTGACGACAACGTGGTCGAGACCGAGAATGGCAAAGCAGAAAACAGGCCACCACATGCCCATGGCACGGGACATGAGATCCCTACCGGCCAGACCGAGATAGGCAGCGAGACACACGAGCCAGTTGCAGCCGATGGCGCGAATGAAGATCTGATGCCATTCGGGAACAACCTGCTTGTTGTAGACGAGGTTCTGGATCACCTTTACCTGTGCAGGATCCGTGAACAAGCCGCCATCTGGAAACAGAGAGACCAATCAGCGTTGCTCCAAGGTGCCAAGTCCCGTCGGACAAGGAGAAAGAAACAAAAAAAAAAAAAAAAAAAAAAAAAAAAAAAAAAAAAAAAACTTACAACCAAAGATGATCGCCATGACAAAAAGACAGCCGGCGAAATTACCCCAGAAGCAGATGAACCAGTGCAGCAACATCTTATGCCAGGGGATACGGCCTTGAAGACAAGCCACACCAGTTAACTGTTGGACAGAAAGTTAGCATCCGAAAAAGAGAGAAACCTGGCATCTTCAACATCCACCCTCCCAAATTCACATACCATGGTCGAGCCGGTAAACAAGTCGGCACCGCTCATAAAGATCATAACCAAGGCGCAAGGGAAGAGAATGGAGCTGAGAGTCTTGACGAGACCAGGAGTGTTCTCGGCCATCCAGGGAATATTAATGGCGACAAGGGTGGCACCAGACGCGAAGGCTGCTATACAGCCGGCAGACACGGCCGAGCAAAAGACCTTGGCGGGGAACATGTTGGCCTTGAAGGTGCCCAGACGGCCGACGATTTCAATCGTCTCGATAGGGCTGTAGGCGTTACCATTGCGAATCCAGACGGTATTTGGCTGGTTTTGAATGCGAGACATTGTGGCGGCTTGACGACCAGCTCTCATAAGCTTGAAACCGGTGGATGTTGTTGAATGACGGATGGAAGAGAGGCTTCCCCCCGTATTGGGAACTTTGGCCGATGTTGGGACGAACTGCTGAGTGTCGAGGGAGGTTCAGGAACTATGTCGCGCCCAGCGAGAAGTGAGAAGTGTTCGTGCCGGTACGAGGTTGAGCTGAGGTGAGCTATGGTGGTATGAGAAGAGAGGATGAACCAACGGCTGACAAACTTGGACCAAGGTCGAGGCAAGCGGTCCTTCAAATGTATGTGAGCCGAACCGGGGAGACAGGCCTAAAAAAGTAGTCCCCCAAAGCGGTGGATATCTCGTGGCTCCTGTGGTGGAGTCGAGTTCCAACACCAGGTACACCCATCGACATTCGAGACCAAGAATGGAAGGCCCCATCCCTGTTTGTTGAGATATGAAGTCACTCCCTCAGGAGCATGTTCATAGTGGTGAAGCGTACGCGTCCGCGAGTTTTTGCAACTCTACGGACGGCCAACGTGGAATTTGGATCAAGACTCGGTTTCCGAAATCGAGGCTCAGGAGGGAACGGATAAGGAACGCTATTGACTCTGGATGAACACCCTGACTCTCACGCTGCCAGTGAGACTGTGGAAGTCCAGTTGTTTAGAACCGGAGCTGCCCAGGTCTCGTCCGGGATTAGCACGGCACGGTGAGGACAGAAAAACCTGGGGTTGAGGAGCACGAAATGTGCACAAGATGAAATGAAGTCCAGACGCGGCGCACCGGCCCCGTGCGCATCCGGGTCTTGACGGTTCTCGGAGTCGGTATGAGTGGTTCATGAACAACACAAACCCCCAACGGTGACTGCTTCATGTGTCGAATGCTCACTTGACTATCCCATCTTTCCCGTTCCCAATGTCATCTGTTTCGGATGGCCCGTAACCCCCACAACAAGAGAGCTCAAGTGAAAGGATCGTGGAAGAAGGCTTTTCTCCAAAGGGGGGTTCAAAATCTCTTGCTTCACCACAACAAGGGAGCAAATTTGACCGAGGCGGTGGGCCCCATCGAGGTGTGATGACTCGCGCCATACCCTGCTTACCGTGATCAGCTGTGATCAAACCCCGCGGAGTCGCAGAAGCTTACACATAACCCTCGATGACCTTCCTTTGATTCTGAATCCAGCGGCTGTTGGATCACCAGCAGTTGACTGTGGACCAGATTGCATAACGGACATCTTTGAAGTGCATGGCGACGATGCTTGGGGTTCTCTTTTGCGTACAAAGGTCCGTCGACGGTGAAGCGTGAATCTTTGCCGACTGTTCCGCCTGCAGCGGCCTCTCTCGAATCTCCATTCTGCCTGAGGTTAAGGCGCGGTCTGTCGTGTGCGACCACAAGATAAGTGTAACCCCTTTTCTTCAGGTTTAGCCGAAACCCAAGGTAAACAAAGCAAAGGAGGCAACGAACGCCCAGACTGCCCGGCAATAACGAACCTCCTTGTGTCCGTTGGGCCGTGCGCTTGGCGGGCAGCCGGCAATATCGAGGTAGCATTGCGTGAACCGGCACCGATACGGCTAGCACGCGACACCCTGCGCCCCATTACATGGAACATTCTGCGCACCAACAAGTGCGACGCTAATAGCGTACGACCAACGGGTAAGCCAGGTCTTGGCAGAGACGACAATCTCGACTGACGAGTCGACGATGAGCCGATTTCTGAGCAGCCGGCGAGCATGGTGTCGTCTGCTGAGCACTGCAAGTTAGTATACAGCGGCACGCCTGGCGCTGTATCGTTCGCAGAGCGGCTCTCTCCGTATCGTCCGTACTGAAGCCCGTATTGTAACTTGCGTGCGTAACCGGGGGATTGACCGTTCTCAATTGTCATTGGCGGTCGGTTGGCGGTTATGCGTTGGCGCGGGAGGTTGACCTGGGCGGGAGGAACAGATGGGGTCAAGGGAACGTGGAGAAAGCCCCGAGTGGAAAGCTTAAACCCGACGGGGGTGTATAGGTACAGTGAGTGAGGAAATATTGTAATCCTTGAAAACCCCCCATGAATCTGCGACCTCCCATTAGGAACACCCCAGCATCCCACTCTGCGCTCTCTCCGCTGCACAGACTTGTGAGCCTCCCCTTCCAGATCCGCCGTCGATGCTTGCCCAATCCGCACAAAGCCGCCCTCACCTACTCCGCTGCCATTGTCAACCCTGTCGGCGACAAAGGATGTCTGTGACAACCGCTCATAATTCACTACATGTGGAGTAGACCCTCTTATCTTCAACTCTTGTGGAGAGCCACGGACGAAGGAAAAGGCAACTTCGTGCCGGTCATCAAGGATCTCGGATACAATGGCGGAGAGTGGTCTGTTGTCGACCTGTTGCGGCAAGAAAGTTGGAAGTCCGGTTGTCGGTCGTGACGGTGTAATGCCGGCGTGCCGTTCTTCCCATCAGTAAGTCGTCCTCCTCATTTGTCCTCCATGATCTCGATCAGAGGAACCCTGCTCATACGAGCTACTCTTCCAATTGCCGCCTATGGTCCAGCAACTGGTTACCCGTGAGTGCTGGTCAAGATTCGTTGTCGTTCTCGGAATAGCAAAGGCTGGCATGCACGAGGCCAAGCTGAAGAAGCATGAAGGCGCCCTCGAAGGCCGTTTCAGGCCCGCTAGGAGCACGAGTATCATAACTATCGTCCGCCGGTGGACACTGGGCCTCTCGACTCCTTGATTTCATTTTTCTCCGCTCGCCCTTGAGGGAGCGACACCGACTCTTCGACCTCAGGGCGGGATTCAACCGTGGGAAAGCTTCCGATGCTCAGCGCCTGAGCGCCTCCTGTTGTGGACCAAGGGCACAATTCCAGCCCACGCAGCTGACTGATGTCAGCCACTTACACAATAGAAACAGTCTCTTGTACCGGATGAACTGGAACTCGAAGGAGGTATCATGACATCAGAGATATGAGCAACAGACACCGACCGATGATCCCCTGGTCCAGCGGCTCCGATGATTCCACACCGACCTTGCAGCAGCAGCAGCAGCAGCAGAGCAGATAGTATCTTCTCCCAAGAATCATAACTCCAATCTCCAAACCCACGAAACACCAACGCAATTTTTTTGGACGACAACGAAAACGACGACAACCCTCTTGGTCGGCCTAGCAGCAACAAACCAAAAGAAAAGGGAGTGTGGTGTCGAGTAGGGCACGGAGACCGAATCCGGAGCGGAAAAAAGCAGATCTAAGGCCCTAGCTTAGCCGAGCGACCCTCTTCTCGAAAACTTTGCCAATCAACGGTTCCCGTCCGCCGCGCGAGTCTCCTGTTCAATTGTCCGCGCTCCCCGTCTCAGGCGCCAAGCTTGTTGCTGTTGCTGGTCGACAGTATAACAAAGCTCATCCACAGGCGACGACATGGACACAACATCAGTACTTTCGGTTGGCCAAGACCGCCGGGTGCTGACTGTCTCTCTGCATTGTCTCGACCTGGCAACTATTGCACTCTCTCTAGCAATTTCCCGTGACGGCACACATCTTGGGTCCCCGCCGGAAGATGGCCTAGAGCTGGAGAAAACTGCCCCTATCTCCACCTCCCGGGGCTGTTCCCCATGGAGCTCGCCCAAAATCTGGTTACCGTTATCCTGCATGCCAGCGGCATCGTCAAGCTTGTCGCAACTGGTGGCTGAGTTGCTGAGCGGCGACCGAGTGACGTGAATGACGTTGTCACGTGGATGGACAATTGCAGATGGACCCTTGGCGGAGCTTGAAGCTGGAAATCTTCACCGTCATCCCCATCCGACGTGTCGCGATGTTGATGTGACACTGATCCACCAAGGGAGGTACTCGTCATTGACATGAATCTTGGTATCGGTCTCGTCCAGGTTTGCGGTTACCCTGTTTCCACGCTCTTGCGTCGAGGCGATCGACATACCGCTCCCACTATCACCACCATCACCACCAGCACCATCGGTCCCCCGAGCTTCGATGTCGAATATTCACAGCGCGTTTTTTTTTTTTCCTCGAAACAACCCATTGTAGACGCGACGGCCATAGTTGTTGTACTCGTCCACGCTCGACAAGGCGCCCACTCCACCTGGTTTCATCTTCGACATCGGGCTCGTTGTGGTAGGGTTTGAGCGGCGCCGTCGTTGTGAGAGAAAGAGAGTGAGTCCCTGATCCTCGCCTACTGTGGAAGCTTCTGCTGTGGGTGCCGTGGAATAGGGGTCATCAAGAGGAGACTGTAGTCGTGGATGTAATGGCTTAGGGTGGAGAATATCCGACCGAAAGATTGCTGAATAAGCGGCTTGAGAATCATGATGCATGCACAAGTGATGGCAGCATTAACTTTTGCACTCATCCAGTACATTTTGAGTGTCGGCATGTTGGATGTCGAGTCGAATAGCTCATATGTCTTGAGCGATGGTGTAAAGTTCTTTCGGTTGTTTTCGATGGGAGCCGGGAGGTGAAGGACATAGACGATGCAAATGCTCAAAGAGCGGGAAACAGTGAGCCATGCTAAACATGAATACCGCCCCTTAGCTCCATGCAAGGGGACGAGGAGGCTGGTCGGTGTTTCTCGACTGACAAAAGCCCAAAGCAAGCACATCAGCTAGGGCCGTCTTCTGCTGCCGTGGTAGCTTCACTCTGAAAAGAGCCGGCATGGCAGAGGGTTGCGAGAGGGACACATCCGCTCTATCCAGCTGTAGGTGAAGAAGGGCTGATAGAGTAGTAGGATGGAGATTCTGGTGAAGGCGCGATTAAGAGAGCACTAGAGAATGATCCCGTAGAAGGCTGCTTGGGTGGTAACAGCAGTGGTCATTTTGGTGAGGACAGCCCGGACGGCCTCTTCATCGCGTGTTTCTGCGTTGTCCAGGCAGCGAGGTTGATCCTTTGCGACCTGAGAAGTTCATTCTCCTGGCCAAAGTAAAGCTGCGGACTCGATCAGTTTGGGATGCGTATGCTGAAATGCTGAGTATCGCCAGACTCTCGGACTTGTCGGTGTGTTTGTTTACTGCCCAATGTTGGTGAGAAGTCCAGCGGTGGTGGATTTCGGAAAGTGTGAGGTGTGTTGGTTGAAATTCGGCTGCTGTTGCGATTGGCTGGGGAAGGTGAGTTTTGGGTTGCCTCGATATTGCAACTCCGTCGCTCTTGCCCTCGTTATGTTATACCTCTAAACGGGAGGTAGGTACCCATGCCATCCAACCCCGCCCCTATCAATTTTTGATGTCCTCCAACTGATCGAGAAAGTCACTCGGAGGTACGGGATCTTCACATCGATCTTAGCCAGGCTCAACCGAGCATATTATTGATGTTCCTGCGGGAAAGTACCGTATCGAGTGGAAGAAACCACACTACCGCAAAATCTCTTCTTGAAGTCGAATTTATCCCCACGCTCGAAGGCCAATCGTTTACAATCCACCCAAGGAACAACCTGCAGGCCGGCACTTCAATAAGGGAACGTAGCATCCAGACACAGCGAAACGATGCAATTGGCTTGTAAACCGTGGGGATATTCGGTGATCCTTTTCCGTGACGGTTGGCTTCGCGAACAGGGAACTATCCTTGTCTTGTACCTAAAAAGTGCCATGGTGAGCATGGATGGGAATTTTTGACCTCATTGGCGTCGGAGCATGTTCGGATTTGGGAACGGCAAACCATCTGTCCACTCTGCTTTGTGAAATCCGAACCATCAAAGATGCTAGCCGGGATGAAACCTCTTTGTTTTTTTCATCTCACAGATTTTGTCCCAAAAAGAACGATATGTCGAAAATTCCTTCCTTTTTTTTTTTTTCACTTGCAAAAGAACTGCCATCCTTGTTGACACTCAAAATCAGCCCTATTCCTTGGCTGCTTTGACAGGCGGGTCTGGCGTTTCTTAACATAACCTCCCTAGAAGCAAGCAAGACGCTTTTGTGGTAGATAGTGATGGCTTCAAAGGCGAACTTGGCGTTGCTTGGATGCAGTTTCAGCCCTTGGCAAGTTTTGGTAGAGTTGAAGAATCCTACGTAGGGTGGGTCCACCAGAGCGAGAATGTACTGCGTACGTGGTTGCCAGACATTCTCAGCTCTGCATCCAAAACATCGCAACAAACTGCAGTGGTGCTGTTTCTTTATAACGCTCTGACCAATTCTTGCGATATAATTTACACCGAACAACGGGCCAAAAGTCTGAGGTGCTTCTAGCCCAAACAAGTGAGTATATGTCAACACTGTTCAAACTCACAACTACACAAGACGAACAATAGAAGAAACAAGAAAGAAAAACAATCTACTTAGCCCATCCAACAAAACTCGCACCGCTAACACCTCTCTTGTGTATATGTAGTTTGGATAGATTGTTTTAACAAAAAAGAACTGAACAAAATCTTAGCAAAGAGCCAACCAACCGAATGGCCGATATACGCCTTGAATTGCAACCCAGGCCAAAAAAAAAAAAAAAAAAAAAAAAAAAAAACATTCAATTGAGCCTCCTTTACCATTTGATCCCATCCATCCCTACGCAAACCTTTATTGATCCGTCATTATCATTACAATTAATGTACACGGGTCACTAACGACGGCCAGGTCGAGGCTAGTTCAGAAATCAGTGCAACAGTCAGTGCAACAGTCAGTCCAGCAATCAGTCCAAGACTAAGTCCCGAGACTTAATCTGGAGAGTTGAAGCTGAGGACCGCAAGATACCTCAAGCAGTGGAAACAAGAAGCGAGGTCAAAGCCACAGAAGACCGAGACCAGTCCGCGTTTCTACACTTTAACTGTCTTCGGTTACTCCTGTCCCCTGTCCCTACCCCTGGGTCTGTGGGAGCCCCGCAACCTCCTCCTCGTCCTCATCGTGCTGGCCCTCCTGGGGAGGAGAGGAGGATCCTTCATTCAACTTCCGCGCCCGCTCGACCGCCTCTTCCAGCTCCTGATGATGTCTCGCCACGACCTGACGCATCTTGCCCAAGTTGAGCTGCAACATGTTGGTCTCCTGATCGAGCATGCCGCGCTCGTGTTCCGTCAGCATCAGCCGGCGCTGCAGCATCTCGACGCGCTCGCGCTCGCACACTTGCCAGGCGTCCTTTCGGATCTGCTCGGCGGCGGCGCGGGGGTCTTGGCTCATGGCTATGGTAGCCATGGTGTTGCTGGGCCGATGTTGGCCCCGGCCTCCGGGAGTTCCTGGTACTCTCATTCCCATTCCTACTCCGGGATCGCCGGCCATGGGTTGTTGTGGTGGTTGCTGCATGTATGGTGACGGTATTGGGAGAGGTGCTGGGGAGGCCATACCCGAAGTCATCACCATGCCCGCTGATCCCATTCCCATTGACATGCCGCCGTGCATGTTTGTTACGGGCATACCCATGTTCATGCCCATTCCCATGCCGTTGTCGGGCATACCGTTGGGCATTCCGTTCCCCATGACGTTACTCATACCGTTGCCCATCCCCATAGGCATTCCCATCGGCGTTATCGGTTGAGCGCCAAGTCCACCTATAGGCGTGGTCGGTGTTGAGTAGGCGTTGCGTGCATGAACCTGATAATCTGCCATCCAAGCCACAGGGCCGCTAACTCCGGGAGTATGGGTCTGCATGGTCTGCATGATGTTTGGTCGGCCTGGGAAGTTGGGGATAGGACCAGGATGTTTGCGCTTCATCTGCGACTGGAGAACTGCCGTGTTCAACGCACTTGCTGCCGCGAGCTTCGGCTTGCTGTCCGGTTTCCCAATCTTGCTGGTTGATTTGACCTTCCTGTGAAGGGGTCCAGTTGGCATCAAGTTTAGTTTCCCTGCTCTCCTCGCCTGACCCCCTGGAGATGCTGGTTCGTTGACACTGGATTTCTGCATGAGCGGAACTAGGCGTTGGTTGCTGGGTTCGATCTTGATCTCGGCAGATTCGCTCCTCCTCAAGGCGGCAAAGTCGGGAAACTCGGTATAGGGAGAAAGAGCTGGCTGGCTACCCGTCTCCCAACCCGCTGAAGCATTTGGGTAGGACATGGACTCCTCAGGCGACATCGAGTGTGTTATGGCCGCTGTGCCGAAATAGTCGCCGCCATGGGGATATGGTTCGTGGGAAGGCGTCACTGAAGCAACACTCCAGTCGGCGGCGAACATGGAGGCATTTGGATCATGGCCGCCCCATCGCGGGGTGCCTGTCGGTGTTTGCTGATTCTCCCAGGCGTTGAAGGGGACACCTTCTTTAACCACGGGCATGGGAACGCTCATGCCGGGCTGTGTCCAGGGACTCGAGACGAGATTTTGGGTATCCCATGCTTGAAGGGCGTCGTTCGGATGGACTTGGGAGGTGGGCATCTGAGAGTGAATCACTAGGTCAGTTGTAAGTTCAGACGCATGTGCCTTGCATATATGTACATGTCAGGCGGCAGAAGCAGCGACGGGGATGCGCACCTCTCCCAGGCCATTGTCGTGGGGAATGTAGCTGCCTGCCATCATTCCGGCGGTGCTCGATGCAGTTCTTTAGCTCCCGAGTTGTAAACGCGGAGCGCAACCACGACTTTTGAATGCAAATCGCTGTGACAGGTACAGACAGGTACAGGTGTTGGACTGAAGCTTGTGCTTCCCGTCTGTTGAGGTTGGACGGGGCGCGGGGTGTGACGTTGTGGTGGTGGTGGTGGTGTGGTGCAGTGCGTTCCCTGCGAATCGCCAAAACCTAAAAAAAACGAGCGTGTGTTGTTGCCGTGTTCCTGTAACTTTTTCACGAGATGAAGGCGTTTCGAGGCGAGCTACCGACTCGCGTTCTTGTCGTCGAAGGTGTCGGTCGGCACAGTGATGGAGAGGTGACTTTTGGTTATCTTCCCGCCTCGGTGGTGCTAGTGGTCAGTGATGTTTGATGGTGCAGTGCTTTTGAGGTTGGCGGTGCTTCTGGGTGGTGCTGGAGAGATGCTTGGCGTCCGATGACGCAGGCGATGGAGCCGTGATTGGAGAGCAGCACACGGGCAGCTCAGCTGTCGGCCGCCCAACCTGTCACTTGGTGCAGCTGTCTGCTACAACAAGTATCTGCACGCGTCTGCCGCCCTGCCCAGGACGGAACAGGATGCCGACTACCTAGTACGCCAATTGACAGCTCTGGATCTGCAGGGCCGATGCCGCGTTTGGGGCTCAACAAGAGAAGTCGAGAGTGGTGGTGCTTGTTGTTCGTGTCCGTACGTGGTAACTGATTGTCCCGGGAATAGCTGCGCGGCGGTTGTTGCGCTGCGAGTGGTCGAGTTCAGGCTGTGGAAGGTCGCCCTACAATTACCCCAAGTTGCCAACAATCGTCATTTTGAACACTTGCTTGGGTCGCCGCAACAGATAATGGTGGTCGCATATGCGACCCGAGCCCTGGCGGCCGACTACTTTTATAGCTTCCTCGTCTTTCATCCCAGACACATCCCAGACAGCCCGCGCGGGGGTGGTGTGGGATATTCATTATATTGGGATGCTAGTGCCGGAGTAGCAGTTTTTTCTTCTTCTCTATTGCTTGGCGCTGCGATCGTGATCTCCCGTCGGCGCATCGCAGTGTGCACATGCCGTTGGAATGCCCATCGCCATGTCCATCCATGCTAACATTTGGCGGTTGATCCAAGGAAAGGGCCCGGGTCCCCTTGTTTGCATGCCCGTTGGGTGTGGCTTGGGTTAGATAGAATACGGCCCAATTGCACCGGCGCAACCTCCGTGCCGAGAGCGCATGTGAGCATTTGATATTGCATTTCTTGGTAGTAGCGACAAAAGCCGATCGAGATTGGAGATATCGAGATGGATTTCCCAGGCCAGATGGGTGGGCAAGTGGGATCCGCCACCTTGTTGCACTGCCCGCCTCCAGCAGCGGGGCCCGGACGGCTGGGAGAGGTGATAGATAAGCGCTTATCGCGGTCTGCCAGACCGTTGCAGACTGTCAGCGGACTACGGGTAACCGAGGTACATCCCCACCTTCTAGCGTGCCGTCGTCTTCCGGGGGATTGTGGTGGTCCGTGGTGGGGTTGGTCGGCCATGTGCATTGTTTCAAAGGGGACTGCGGGCATCCAACTAACCAATGTGGTGATATCGGGTTGTCCGCGAAAGAGATGCACTCACCTCAACGCTCCAGCGGGTCTTGCAACACTGCACTGCAAATACGAAGGTCTTGAAACAGACCGAAGCTCTGGAAGGCGGGCACCAGAACATGGATTCCAAATGGACATAGGTGCCTGAAATCGGCTGTGTGCTGGCACGACAAGGATGACCGTGGATGGCAACCCAACCGGCCTCGGCGCTGCCTCTTGAAGAGGAATTCGATATCTCCGGCCCCTTTTCAGTGAGACGTTCCTGATCGCAGCTTGCAGCTATGTACCGGCGCCGGGTCAGATCCCCTTTGTCTGTTTTTTTTTTTTTTTTTTTTTTTTTTTTTTTTTTTTTTTTTTTTTTTTTTTTTTGGCGAATGAGCTCCCGGGCCCGGCCCATGAGGCTCCCGGCTCCCCTTTCCCATCGGACCCTGCGCAAGAGCTGATGATGGCCCGATACATAGCCCGGCCACGCACATTGTTACTGTTTTTAGCATTGCTTTCGGGCACATCCTTATTTGCGCTACCGATTGCTGCGATCCTCAACATCCCATCCGTTTCCACAGCATCGATAGCTCTGGTTGGTGACCAGATGGCAGTTGGCATAAGAGAAGCCTTCCACCGCCGGTGTACACTACACCTTGCCCCTGTTTGATCTTTGCCTTTTTGACTCTTCTACACCACCTCACAGCGAGCAGTTCATCTCCACTCACATCCAATTCTCTCCACGACAGTCCTGGTCAGCCGGTCAATTCATCTCTACAAGAGACTCATCGACCTTCGCAAACACGCAGAGTATCCAAAATATTTGCACATGCCATCCTTCACAGCTCCTCGATTTCTAATCCAACTGAAATCTTTGAACCCCCCTCTCCCATCACCTTACAATTCTTATCTAGACGGCCGAGGTTCGCGCGAATACAGCCCATTCCATCCCGATTCCGCGTCGATCACTTCCGACAGGTTCTACACTACTGCTATCAATCCCTCAGTCACCGCTATCCACACATCACGCGAACCCTACAGCATAGGTCACGAGCTTTTTTTTTCCGCTGTGGATTTCAGTTTGCGCAGCTCCATAACCTCCACCCATCGCCATCCATCTGATCCATCTCAGTTTTCACCCGCTGCAAGCCGAGACATCGGACGGCATATCGGAGCGGCACTGTACGTACATATGTAATCAGACCGGCGGCGCTATCCGGCGGCGCTATCCCCCCGGCCCCAATTTGAACAACACCCGCCAAGCCGAACGGGCCGCCCTCGCGGCCTCTGGACCCGGCAGAAGTCCACGCTGAGTCGCTTGCACCGTGGCCCGTACCCAGTGGCAGCGCGGCAGAGTGGCGACTGCCATAGTCACATCCCGGGCGACAAGGCACGATGATCGGGTGGATGATTGCTTCATTTCCAGGGTACGCTAGCGCAGGTACAGTTGCCTACCCGTCGTTTCTCTGCCCGCTCTCCATTAGTGACGGGAACATCAGTGATGCACCTCACGTAGTATTGTACCTACCGGGTAGCACCGGTAATGTTGTCGGATCGCACTTATAACGCTTCTTTGCGCCCAAGGGCAGTCCGGTTCTGCGTTGCGTTTGTATCCGTTCGAGCCCCCTCCTCCGAGTCCTCAACAAAACCCCAGGCCTGTGCATGTATGCCCAAAACACATGTCCCGAAGCGTTCTCTGGTTACCGGTCAGTGTCTGGATGATGGAAGATCCCTCACCCTTAGACCTTGGACCTTGAACCTTGGCAAAGCTTGTCGACAATCAAGCTTTCAACGAACACGGGTTATCCCAGCCCTTTTCCCAACCTTCGATTTGCGCATTTGTTCTTTCAACATTTCTGGAATCCATGACGCAAAGCCAGCGACATGGAGAAACAATCTCAACTCAAAATGTGATCAGCATCTCGAGTTTCACTACATACTGCGGTGGCTTTCACTCGTCATGTGAGAGGAGAGCAGTTCTCAGCAGGCAAATTCTGGCAAATGTTTGTACGTCTGCTTTCTCGAAAAAAGCCAACATTCACGCTAGTGAAGAACCAGGCACGAGTTGATAGTGCAATCTTGTTCTCAAAGCCGCAAAGGGGGTGTAACTTGATGAACCCTGGTAACCAACAACGTCCCTTATATCCCAGACACCAAGCACAAAGCCCCGCCTTTTCCCTTGTATCTGAAAGGGAATTTGAGGATTTATCGCGAGCACGGTCCCGACTCATTGGTCAGGCACATGGCATTGTGTGCCTTGTGTGAAGATAACCCTTCACCCCCATCCCTGTGACACGTATGAATTGAAGGTTGTGCCATCACGCCGTACACTACAATTGATCATCAGATGGATGGGCCGCACCACCCTCGTTCGCCTCGCACAAAAGTCAGGCCCGAGTGTGTCCGACCAACTACCTCATTGGAGGGGATGAAGTGTTGGATAAACCCATGAAAGATGAATAGGAACAACACGTTGTTGCATTGTGGAAAAAGATCCCAATATCAGACGGTTGGTCGACAGATTAGTGAACCAACGTCCCCGTGTCAGACAAATCGTACCTGCCTAACCCCGGGGCAAACCATCAACTCGAAGGGGCCAGGTCTCCAATACCAGGTGAGCAGCAACACATAACTCGATCAAAGTTGATGAATCAATAGGAGAGAACTTCCCTATTTATCCACCTTTAGAGCAAGAGAGGCGACGGATGCTTTCACATCTCCCATCCGCTGCCTCTGCCTCTCCCGTCCAAAGTTTGGGTAACACGACAAACGGACGCAATGAGAGTAGTATTTACCGTTGCCTCTCAGTTGTTCTTGTCAACAATCATCATCTCTCAATTAGCTTTGACTGCAACATGCGTTCGAACAGCAGTCAACGTCACGTATAGCGAATATGTCGGAGAAGAACTTGGCAACGGCGTCAGTCAATGGCTTGGACTCCGGTACGCGGCACCGCCTGTTGGTGCCCTGAGATTCGCGCCCCCGCGAGATCCGCTATCTAACTCTGAGCCTCAAGCGGCAAATAAGGTCAGAGCTCCATGGCAGGATGGCGTGTAGGCCAGTGAAAGCTTTGGAGGGCACATAGTAACTAACTGCTGATGCAATAGCATGGGAACTGGTGTGTCCGAAGGCCGGGTAATTCTCTGACTTCGGAGGATTGCCTGTTTCTGGACGTCTATGCACCGACAAAAGCAACCACAAAGTCCAAGCTCCCAGTCTTTGTCTTCATCCAGGGCGGAGGTTTCAACGACAATGCTAACCCAAACCTCAACGGAACTGGGCTCGTAAAGGCGAGTTCAAACAGCATCATCGTCGTTACACTCAATTACCGTGTAGGACCATACGGGTTTCTCACCAACGGACCGCAAGTTGTTGCCAACAACGGGCTTCGAGACCAGCGCAAGGCTCTGGAATGGGTGCAAAAGTACATCAGCCAATTTGGAGGTAACCCTGACCATGTCGTCCTTGGAGGAGCCTCAGCTGGTGCGGCCAGCGTCGCTTACCACATGATGGCCGACAAGGACGGCAACAGAAAGCTGTTCCACGCAGCAGCTGCCGAATCAGTCTCCTTCGGTACCGTCCTCACCGTCCAACAAGCCCAGTACCAGTATGACAACCTGATGATCCGCCTCGGCTGTGCCAGAAGCGACGCCGCCGCTAGTCTGGCCTGTCTGCGATCCAAGACTCAAAAAGAAATTGCCGACAAGGACGGCGACATCCCGTACCCTGGCTCGTCCAACGGACCCATCTACATGTGGTCCCCCGTCATCGACGGCGACTTTGTAATAGACTACCCGTACTCCGCCTTCCGCAACGGCAACTTCATCAAGAACATCCCCGTCATCTTCGGCGACGACACCAACGGCGGCAGCGGCTTCGTCCCTGACCGCATCAGCTCCCTCGGCGACAGCAACCAGTTCATCAAGGACCAGTTTCCTGCCATCACCCTGAGCCAGCTCGACACCCTGAACATGCTCTACCCTAACCCGAACGCTTCGATCTGTCCCAGAATGGGCTGTTGGCGCGGACAGGCGGGAAGTGTCTACGGCGAGATGAGGTACATGTGTCCTGGGTTGTACCTGAATGATGCGTTTGACAACTACAACGATCAATACTCCAAGGGCACAAGCTCTTGGGCGTATCGGTGGAACGTGGAGGACCGGGATCAGATGGCCAGCGGGCTGGGAGTGCCGCATGTTGTCGAGCTCAATGCCCTTTTTGGACCGACAAACATGTGGTATACTGGCCAGGTGCCCCAGAGTTATTTTCCGGGTGGGACAAACGCGGCGGCGGTGCAGGTCATGCAGGGCTATTGGGTCAGTTTCATCAGGACATTTGATCCGAATACGTTGAGGTGTTGTGGGAGCGTGGAGTGGAAGGCCTGGAAGAGCGGCGATAAAGCGAGTGCACAGCATCAGAGGTTGTTGTTTGGGACGGGCGGGAAGACGGCGATGGAGGTGATTCCATTTGATGAGGGGCTGGGGCTGAGGTGTAAGTATTTGCAGGCTATTGGGAGGAGCCTGCTGCAGTGAGCATGTGGCATGTCTGGTGGTGACAGTGTTGGTCGGGTCGGGTTGTTTGCTTCCGGAATCTGGCCATGACCAAACAGACGAGAGAGAAGATGATGGCGTGCTTGTTTCTCCGTGAACACCTCTCCCCTGAAGATGTCCTTAGCGTACGCGACATGAACGCAACAAAGATCATGTTTTTCCAATGAAGAGGTCCCATCCAACTTCAACATCAAAAGTGGAGATAGGGGAATGCTGTCGATGGCATGATGGATGTGATCTTTGACAACAAGTCGGAAGCTGTCGGCCGGACTCGCACAATTCCAGCGTCAATCCCCTCTGAGTAACTTCCTCGAGCGCATCTCTTTTTCCATTGCACGATTCGAATTCCTCGGGAAGGTGTAACTCCCCGAGCTTGCGCGTACACGGACACTTGTTTCCGACCCTAACCCTACCCCTGATCTAGTCCTTTAGTTGGAAAGCGCCCTGCACATGGATACGCAAGGGAGGTACTGTCCACTCATTCCAACTTCCAATTGCAGCTGGCCAAAGAAAGTTCGTTGCAAGACTTTCTCGTCCAAATGGAAATCAAGGAACGCCCTACGGTTTCCGAAAAAGTGTTGCAGGATCTGCGTGGGCCCTGAACTCAAGGATGATTGACGGATTGGCGGTTCCACGCTTCACCCAACACAGCTACGGAGATTGTCCATCCGCGGTCCAAACCGAACGACGGCCCCGGCCTTGCCGAGTTCCCCGCGCCGCTGGAAATGTTTCGATTCCCAAAAACCGGAAAGCTTCAACTCTCACCTGAGCTCGCGGGCCGACAGCCTCGCGCTTAGTCCAGAATGGGCATCCGGGCTGCGCTCTGCCGCCCCCTTCATTGTCCAAGGCAGGAACTTATGCGGATGTCTTCTCTTCCAAGACACTTCCCAGGATGCCGGCCCGCAACCTCTACACGCATAACCTGACGTGATCCAAGGCCTCTGGATGCCATGCTGCCACACCAACTTCGCTTCGATAGAACTGACGGAGGATGGGAACGAGGCCCGAGCCGGGAGCCGCATCCTTGCGACCTTGCCCGGCCACCCGTGCCTCGTCGACATCGACATCAAGCCTTTCGTAGTGCATATATAATGTCAACATCACCGCCGCTGTCTTGTTGGTCCTCACTTCCGGGCCATCGTCAAGGATTCTAGTTCCTCGGATCACCCTCCTCCCAAATCACCATGAAGGCTACGATTCTTGCCACCACCTTTGCCGCTGGTGCCCTCGCCCAGAGCGGTGCTTGGGGCCAATGCGGCGGTAACGGTTGGTCCGGCGCTACCAGCTGCATCTCCGGATACACCTGCAACTACGTGAATGATTGGTATAGCCAGTGCCAGCCTGGTACTGCCGCTCCCACCACCACTGCTGCTGCCACCACCCTCGTCACCTCGACCAAGACCGCCCCTCCTGCTACCACCACCACTGCCACCCCCTCCGGCAAGTTCAAGTGGTTCGGTGTCAACGAGGCCGGCGGTGAGTTTGGTGATGGTATCTTCCCCGGAAGATGGGGCACTGAGTTCACTTTCCCTGACACCAACACCATTCAGGTATGTCACGTTCCCTTGGTGTCAAGATATGTATTTTGTTCTGGATACTAACCTCGTTTGGCACTGTAGACTCTTCGCAGCCAGGGTTACAACATCTTCCGTGTTGGCTTCGCCATGGAGCGCCTTGTCCCCAACACCCTGACGTCGTCTTTCGATAACGGCTATCTCACCAACCTCACCCAGGTTGTCAACTCTGTTACCAACTCTGGTGCCTATATTGTTCTCGATCCCCACAACTATGGCCGCTACTATGGCAAAATCATCACCGATACCGACGCCTTCAAGACTTTCTGGCAAAATGTTGCTGCCAAGTTTGCTTCCAACTCCAAGGTCATCTTCGATACCAACAACGAGTACAACACCATGGACCAGACCCTTGTCCTCAACCTCAACCAGGCCGCCATTGACGGTATCCGTGCGGCCGGCGCCACTTCCCAGTACATTTTCGTCGAGGGTAACCAATGGACTGGCGCCTGGTCATGGAATGTGACCAACACCAATTTGGCTGCCCTTACCGACCCCGAGAACAAGATCGTCTACGAGATGCACCAGTACCTTGATTCCGATAGCTCCGGTACCAGCACTGCCTGCGTTTCCTCCGAGATCGGTGTTCAGCGCATTGTTGGTGCCACTGCCTGGCTCCGCGCCAATGGCAAAAAGGGTGTCCTCGGCGAGTTCGCTGGTGGTGCCAACTCAGTCTGCAAGGCTGCCGTCACTGGCCTCCTTGAGCACCTCAAGGCTAACTCTGACGTCTGGGAGGGTGCCCTTTGGTGGGCTGCCGGTCCCTGGTGGGGTGACTACATGTATAGCTTTGAGCCTCCTTCGGGCACTGGCTATACCTACTACAACAGCCTTCTCAAGACCTATACCCCTTAAGTAACGGGAAGTTGTGAAAGAGTTGCTGTAGGGAAAGCGAGCAATCGCCCAACGAGAACAAATCTGTCTTGTCGTTGGAAAGCATTGATCCCCAAATCGTTTACTTTTTCTTGTACATACATACTACCTTTGAACATATTAAATCGCATTGCTTGTACAGACAATTATTATGCCTATATTCCCATTTCATATTGCTGGATAGGGATCTAACCGTGTTATAAATATTAGTCCACACTTCTAACTAAAGCCACGCTGCGCTCAAAGCACAACGAAGAAGCGAACGGACACAGATTCGAATCACCGTGACCTTCAAGAAGAGTAAAAGCCGGGGGCAACGATCACGAAACCCTCTAATGGCTTTGTCGCCATAACAAGACCCTATCACCCGCCCAAACTCCTCCACCTGCTGTAAATACCAACCTTCTTATGAATTCGATCCTCCTCGTCCAAACCCACCAAAGCGAAAAAAGAAACTAGCAAACCTGCCGATAGTTGTGGACGCTTCGGACATCGCCATTGCGTCTTGATTCTCGTCCTCCTCCTCCTCATCACCAGTACTTCCCATTGGTAAATCCGAGTCACTCGAGTCCTCATCATCCCAATCTACGCCGAGTAGGCTACCGTTGAACAACAAATTCCTGGCCTGGAACCTTTCAAACTCGAGCCGGCGTTTCTCTAGCTCACGTGGAGACAACGGTGCTGCTGGCTCTTCCTTCAAGTGTTCCCAACCAACTACGAGCGAACTAGGCCCCCTTCCAACCGCAGAAACACTTTGTGGTATCGACGATGCAAGCTTTTGTTCAGATTTTCCTGATCCAGCCCTGACCCCTTCCTCTTCTTCCTTCCCAGCAGGGTCCTCCTGTATAATCGCTTCTGGAACCGCAGTCGGCTCCGCTGCCGCTCTACGTCCCAGCTTTAATCCAGCAAACAATCCGCTCCCTGCCCTTCCGGCTTTGCCTCCTTCGGCCAGGTCCCGCGGCGTCCAGGCTTGTTGCAAGCGGCTTGGACCTGGGCCCCTCAAGAGAGTGTTCTTCCGCCGCGCCCTGAGGTCGTATTGACCACCCACTTTGCGGTTGGTGGGATTCAGTCTGCGTACGAGTGGTGTTGGCGGTCCCGGTGGTCTTTGGGGCGGTAATGCCGATCCGCCTGGTTGGTTATTGGGCAAGATGAATGCTGTGGGGAGTTTGAGTTGTTGAGGTTGCTGTGGCGGTGGCTGTTGAGGTGGCTGCTGCGGTACTTGGGCCTGCTGAGGCAACCAATTTTGTTGCGGCGGCCGATTCTCCTGTAGCGGCTGATTCGGATGCTGCAGAGGCGGCCGATACATCCCACCCGGCTTTCTCTGCCCCTGAGCTGCCGCCCCATGACCAATTATGCCTCTATTGAGAAGTCTTTGTGGCTTTCCTCGAGCCGATCCCAATTCCCGAGGCAGGAAGGGCACTCCAGCATCTGCGGCGATCGGAGGGGGAGTCTGGAAATTCACTTGCTTGCGGGGAGGATTCGGTTGCAGCGGCGTACCCTGGATGCCGCCGGACTTGGTATGCGGAAGAAGACGGACGCCTGCACCCAGTGCTGTCAGCCGTTTGTTGGTGGGAGATGATGATGGCGCTCCTTCTCGTGCCGCTCGTGCTTGTGATGTAGCTTGTGCTATTGCGGCTGCCACTTTGGCTGCGGCTGCGGCTGCGGTCGAGCTGGTGGCCGCGGTGGAGTCGGAGGGCACGACGAAGGTGCGGACTCGTCCGGCTACCGCGTTGGTCCCGGCCTTGGGCGGTGAGAGTTGCGGGATTACAGGCGCCGGTGCGGGTTCCGCTGCGGTTGCCTCTAATGCTGCTTGGATGCGCTCCTTTGGAGTTGGTCTTCTTGGTGGTGGTGCTGCCGCTGCTGGGGTTGGAGCCACTGGAGCAGCGGGTCGTACCGTTGCTTCTTGGTCAGGGCCTTGGGGATCGGGAACAGCTTTTTCTTGTGGAACTGGGTTGGCTTCAACTGCTTCAACGGCGGCCTTTATCTGTTCGGCTTTCACCCCACTGGACTTTCTGCGTGGACGCCCAAAAGGACCCTTTGCTGGGGGCTCTTCCGCCTGTTGAGGAGCAGGATCTGGAGGGTTTGGCACGGCCTGTTGAGGATCATCATTCGGAGTATCCGCTGCGGCCTTTGGTGGTCTCGGAAACGCTGGTTTCTTCTTGACTTTGACGGGCTTGGTTGACTGGAGCTTAGGCCACTTTCCGGGAACCTTGAAAGTGAAGTCGAAAGTGCTGACACTCTGTTTACTAGGCGACACACCGGCTAACTCGGGTATTTTGCCCCAAGGAGGTCTGGAACTTTTTGCGGAACTCTCAGCTTTATCTTCCCCTGGCTGTTCAAATACGGCCGGCCTTGCTGGTCCTGGGACTCCTGGTGATTCGAAGAATCTTGCAGCCCATTGGCGGGCCTCATCTTCCGACAAACCTTCCCATTCAGACGATGTCTTCTCATGAATCCAATCCCACAGCTGCTTTGCCTCAGGCCGCATGGCTGGACTGTCGGCCATGCACAAGACTATGGCGGCACGAAGGTCCTCGTCAATGTGATTGTACCTCGTATGATTGACGAGACCACCCCAGGACCAAAATCTACCCTGGGTTTCAGCTCGACTTCGACGGCGGCCAGGAGGTCTGTGGTCCGTAATCCAGTAAGGAAACGGCATTCTGGAGGGTTTGTGGAGCGTTACGAGACACCACATAACTTGACCGATCCAGTACAAATTCGTTTTCCAGGTGTAATTGCCGGCGATAGTAGGAGTGAAGTTGACAGTTGTGGAAGGTGTGTACTTGATGTAATCCCATTCGGGGTGGAATTGCTCCTGGGCAAAGAAGAATACAGTGTTAGTTACACGGGCACTAACTTGGATGCTTTCACCAAACCATAATACCAACAGATGTCGTCGCAACGGGGTACCGAAAGAGTGTATTGGGAGAACATGACACTTACCGGTGAAAGCCAGCCCGCCCCTGGCTTGCCGCAGAATCTTGACCCCCACATCTTGAAGCTGAGGAGAAGGTTAGCGAAATGATTCAAGACTGAAAGCCGTGAGTTTGAATATCATGTGGCGTCATTCTCGGTCTCGATCTTGAACTTACAAATCGTTTTTCTCAGTGGCCATGTTCGTACCCAAGCCAAGATCAGCTATCTACAATTCAGGCAAAGGTCATTGTCAGCAACTGCTCATATCTATCGTTTCCATCATGCGGTATGTTTCGGCCATGTCTCTCACCTTGATATTTGGCGTTATCGAATGCGACTCTCGAGTGGGAACGTTGAAATCTCCAACGAGGACTACATATTCACACATCAGCAAGCCGTTCTGAATTCTTACTTGGTCCCGGGAAAAGAGCCACTCACTATTTGCTAGATCTAAGTCAAAGTGTATAAAGTTATCCTTATCAAAGCTGATCACATCCTCTCTATCTGGCAATCGCTCTTCCATAATGGGGCCCGTCCTTCCTCCAGTTTCCCTATACTCATGATAGTGCCGCGGGGGATGAGCCATAGCGAGAACGCCCTTGAACACTATTTGAGATCACGGTCAGTACGATACTTTCTCTTTCCGTTGTCTTTTCAGCATACGAGTCAACAAGGGGGGGATGAGACTTACAACACTCAAAGATCAACCAAAGCACTTTGGAATGAAATTTCTCTCCCGAGTGGGCCATCTTTCTTACCCACAAGTCAAAATCACCACGCCACATTGGCTCAATGACCATTAGGTCTGGATGTGTGTTGATGTCGTGGTCTCCATCGCTGCGTCGCTTGCTAGCCCCCTTAAGGTGCATGGCCTCTCTCGCTCGGTCAAAGATAGCCCTTGCAAGCGGACCGCGGAGTGCTGCTCTTGGCGATTCTCCTGAAGCTGGCGCCGCAACTATCGGCCTGTCACCGCCCGGTCCTTTCTCCTCTTCGCCCGTTGTCAAACGTGTCCGTTTGGCGACCTGAAAAGCAGAGTCCGCAGCATCGCCAGCATACTTCCTCTTCATTGCTTCTGGTGCATTCCTGTTGATACCCGGTCCTATTTTGTTCTTGTCTTTATCTTGCTGCTGCCTGTCCTCCACCACAAGACACTGCACCACGTGCGCGGCCCTGGCCACCCGAATATGGTTCTGCTTCTCCTGCCTGAAATTGTCTCTACTCCTGTCGATCAAGTTCATCTTGATCACAACGTTCTGCGACTGCCCTTCCCTCGGCTGTCTCAATTCAGCCAGCAACACCGCGCCCATGCCACCCCAACCCAGCACCTTCTTGATCCGAAAATCCGAGTTCGTCTCCAAAAACACCCTCGTTCTCGCGATCGCCTCCTGGACATGCGCAGGCTGCCCCCCTTTGAACCTGTCACCCACCTGCGGTCCCGGTGCCTGCGCCTGGTTACCAGGGTTGTTCTGTCCAGGCGCGCCCGCCTGTGCTCCGACTGGATTCTGGGGAGGCATACCCCGGCGCGAAAAGGGAACGATTTCGTACATCTGGTTGGCGCCGTAGAACGGGTTGGTGAAGTGGTTTCTCCACATGGGACCGGGAATGGGCGGTTTCCACCTCTTGCGCAGCGCTCGGTGCTCGGGGGTGTCTCGCAGGTGCAGCTCGCCGCGCCGGTAGAGCACGCACGGGTAGCCGTTGTCTTGCTGGTAACGAAGCATCTCGCGCTGGACGGCACGCTCGCCGTAGAGGTCGGCTGCGGGGGGTTCCACCCGGTCCAGCCCTCTCCCTCCTTGTTTCTGGGGTCGGTACGCCATGCTGATTGTGAGGTTGGGAGAATGTGGTTGTGTTGTGTTGTTGATGAGAGAGTGAGGAGTGAGGAGGTTATAGGTGTTGAGAAGAAGGCGGACCAATAAACTTCGTGCCTTTGCCGGAAAATATCGGTTCTCCAGATATTCCAGTAACGCTTATCAGTAGGTATGCGAAGCAAAAGGATAGTGAGAGCGGATTGGTGATATTTGAGTGATGGCGGAATGATGGGACGCCGTCACGCGTTGAAATGGCGCAAAGTCAAATGAGATTGAGTTTAATGATGACGAGAAGGAGGAGGAGGAAGTCAAAGTGCTATTCTGATGACGGTTGGACTGGCTCGCAATAGAACGAGTCTATATGACGCGGGCTTGCTGGTATAGTTGACACGATTCTGACAATGGTCCCTGACCGCACTTATCGAACCATTCCGTTGTAGTGGGAGTTGGCCGACGTCGCGGAGTTGAGAAGAGAATGGATTAGTTGCCGGCGTTGCCGCCAATGGTGGCGTTATCGCCCTCGTTCTCGGCCTCGTCGTCAGTGATCCAGCCCGACTCGGTCTCCTCAATCACGTCTTCCTCACGTTGTGTATGAGGGCCTGCAATACGGGTTGTGTCGACGGTGACTTTGGTAGCCTTGTAGATGCCGTCCTTTCTCCCGAATATTTTCTTGGTGGTGACGAGCTCGACGGTGGTGGTCGTGGTGGTGATGCGAGTTTTCGTTTCTTTTATGTACATCTCGTTCTTCCCAGCATGTCGGTTGGGGGTGAGGTACTTGTCCTCCACGTCAGTACTACTGTCAGAGCCGAAGTGCGACTCGGACTCAACGCAATGGGGCTGGAAAAGATGCTCGAGCAGGAGATCTTCCTCTTGGTGGTGGAGATGGTGATCGAGGAGAGGTTGGTCCTCGGTCTCCGAGGTAGTTGTGGTGGACTGGCCATTTTGGCTGTCCACAGCCGGGCTTTGCGCCTCGGCAGTGGGGCTCTGGTGCTCCCGGTTCTGGTTCATCTTGGCTAATGAGGCTGATTAGCTGGTTTTGGTCGTTGAGAACAATGGAATGTTGTCTCTGAGACAAAGAAGACTTACAACTTGGTGTGAGTGGTTGCGCTGCTCAAAGACCTGGTGGTGATGTTTCCGGGAGGGAGGGGCACTGGGAGAACAAAGAACGGTGGTAGTATGAGAAGGGCTTGAAATACCGGCAGAGGTTGGAACAAAGACAACGCACAACAATGGGCTGCTACTGATTCTGCTTTGACTAAATAGTGAGCTACGCGTTGTTTCTTGTTTGTTATCTTGATTAGGCAATGCACCTTGCGAGCTTGTTGCCCAGCTAGCTGAGGCTCCTTCCTGAACGTCTCTTACAACAGGGTTTTCCAGGCCCTTTGTTCTAATGATTGGACGTTTTTTGAGTCTACCCAGACTTTGAAGGTTCAGATGAAATTTCTGAGTCGAAGTCTGGACAGCACGTCAAACACAGGATATACAAAAACAGCTAGACTCGCAGAAAGACAACGCCAACTGTGTCCACTCGAAGGTCTTCTGATATTCTCTCGTCTGATCTCATCAAGCAAGAACCCGGGATGTGTCAGAGATGCTCTATTCAAGGCTGGGGTTTTGGAAGCTTGTGGAAGTGCTAGCTCTCCCGTGACCTTTGAGCTTGAGCTTAAACAGTGACATGGAATAGAGCTTATCGACCGTGAAATTAGATGAAGTTATACCTTTCGAGGTTCTCGATGATTTTGCCCGTGAATTTGTTGCTGGCTCCAGACTTGACTTCTAGTCTATTCGCTTCGAGAGGATATTTAGATGCACCGTTTCCTTCGATTAATACATAATGGGAATAACGTAGTGTCTTTAGCTGAATGTGAAGCGTATGTCATTTCTTTGATAGTGTCTTGATTGTCATGTTTACCGTATCTCGACTTAACTGTTCAGTCCACTCGCTTGAAAGACATTATTCGGTTTGTGGTGCTGTGTACCTCGTGGTTTCCTCACGGGAAACCCCGTGTTAGTTGAGGGTAAATAGGCTGGAAATCAAAACGTACTCGCGATCTTCGTCACTTGCCTGGCTATACTCTTATTTCCTGGAGTAGCCTGCAGTATCTCGTTCAGATGCTTGGTCATCTGTCGAAAGTGCTTGTAGTCGTCTTGAATTGACCTCAGGGTATCCTATGCCTTGTAGCAATGGGACAGTTCAACTCGAGCCAGATCGGCATAGTCTACAGCTGTAGACGACATGCGACAACATGGTAAGATCATTTCTGATAGGAACTATGACTAGAGGTCAAGGTTTATTTACAATCAGATGCTTGATCACATTATCGTCTGCGCGGGGAGGAAAGCAAAACTATCCTTCTTATCTCTGTAGCTTTCTATGAGCCCCTGCATCTCCTTCGCTGATAACGCGACCTCCCCTACACACTGTGTCAACCATTCGAGAAGTGCCGGATCTGAAGAAATAGATCCTGGTGGTTCACTGGTTGGATAGATGACCGTTTCTCGTCTTGTCCCACATTGCGCCTCTCTTTTTGGTCGGTGGCATCGTCATCACAATAAACATTAAAAAAGCAAATGACGTGCTTTAGAAAATCCCAGAAGCTCTTCTCCTTCCAAAGAGCGTACACATTCTCGTCATTGTTCTTGTTCTCCATGTCGCTCCCCTTGGGTTCTAAATTAAAACCAGAAGGGGTTTCGGCGTCTCGGACAAGGGGGAGGGCAGTCAAGGTAGAGGTAGAGAAGGTGTTGCGGGCTTGGATAGGGTCCATTCCGTCTTGGTTCTCGCGAATTCGATTGCCGTGCGTTAGGGTGGACGGCTTGCTGGTTCCGACGAAGGATAAACGTTGTCAGGTGGTGACTGAGCTGCGCGATCCCTTCATGTTTGGAATTTTCGAACTATTTCTCGGAACTGCACCGACTTCTGGTTGTGCCTTGCGCCTTGAAGATGAAGCCGTGACCCGGGTATGGTCTTGACCGGCGCGAATCGAGCGAACGAAGACTGGATGCTTGCGTGGAGGAACTGCCGGGAGCTTGAGTACGTTAGTACAAATAAAGAAAGTAATTTGTTGGTGTCAGCAGAAGGACAAACAGAAGCGTACTGAACTTGTTCTCCCCAGGTGAATAGCGACATGGGTTCCTGTTATGGTCGCTCATGCGATCCAAGGCCTTCTCGTACGCGCCGCCAATCGGTCGACCAGCGGTTTGTGACAGTGAGAGGCAGTCCAAGCCAAGATGTAGCATGTTAGTCTGGGCTACTACTCAGGTCGGTATCTCTCGTCATGGTATCCATCATTCGCATCTCTGTAGAAGTCTTCGGTTCAAATGCGGTGGTTTGCTCGGGAGTTCGGAAAGCGAGAGAATGTCGCGAGGTCTCGAGGTTTGGAGATCTGGGAGCAGGAGAACCGTGTCAGCCGTGAAAAAAAGACTCGAAATCAACCACGTACCTACCCTAGGTGGAGTTCAACGGGAATACTGACTTTTGCTTGATCCATTGTCATGTTTATGGTCAAGTCAACTTAGAAGTTCGAGCGCGTCAAATGTTGTTGGATGGGAATTGAAAGAGGGTAGTCGCGACTGCAGTTCCTGCATGCGGCCTCAGTTGCAGCTGGACAACGCATTTAGTTCTGGCAAGACTGGTTCACGACACTTGAACGCAGCAAATTCACGGATTCATTCCGTAGAGGTGTTTTCCCCCACTGTATACCTACCCTAGTGAAACACCAAGGCAAGATAGTGTGATTCATTTCACTGTCCTATCGACAATGGCACACATGGCTTCTCATGGAAAGACCCTACCAATACTTTTGATGTACCTCAACATTCCTACACGTACAAATCGCATGCAACAGGAGGAGAGCCTGAAAGAAGCGCTTGTTTCATACCTAACTAGCCACCAGCGCCCAAAGTAATGTTTTACACAGGGCAAGTAGAGGTATGGAACCTGGAGGTATGTTTTTCACGGCGAGATCTAGAATCACATCACAACGCTGAAGATACCTCTGCGAAAGGAACACCACAAGAATGCTTGCATACCAGTACATTGTTTATATGCTTGAATGAGCATGAAAGCAAAGGAAATCTCCCTCTGATGACAATCATCCAAGGCGCTGAGAACTGAGCCAGGACGGACAATGCAGAGGTTTTGAATCTCTCCCCATGCGATGCACGGCCAACGTATGACGAGAGGACGACCGGGCAAGCGCGAAGGGAAACACGATCAAGCCAGAGATCAATAAAGGAAAATGTTCCTCACTACGAGCCAAGGCATGGGAAAGCCAGGGCGTTCAAGTTTTAGAGGAGTTGATCTAGCCCTGATACCGACCAGCCATGGAAAAGGCAGGTCGGGTTGGCGGCGGGCGAGTGATGAAGTCAGCAATCAACGACAGAAAATGTCCATCTCTACGAGCCAAGGCATGGAGAAAGCCAGGGCATTAAACGTGTCAGAAGGAACTTTAGAGTGATTAGTCTAGCCCTGAGACCGACAAGCCATGGAGAAGGCAGGTCGGGTTGGCAGCGGGCGAAGGAATGATCAAGTTAGCGATCAACAAAAGGAGATGTCCCTCACTACAAAGCCAAGACATGGAGAAAGCCAGGGCGTTCAAAGTTTTAGAGGTATTGATCTAGCCCTGGCACCGACAAGCCATGGAGAAGGCAGGTCGAGTTAGCTGCGGGCAAAGTAACCTACCTTTGGCATATGAAGAAGAAGAAAAGAGGAAGAGGTTCTGGGGGTGAGGAGGAGGATATTAAATACCCCTCGAGGACTGGTCTGTGCACGAGTGCAAATTCCCTGTCACGAGTGCAAATTCCTAATCAGTGTGTTTGTTTCCGTCAGTTACAGCCGGGAGTATCGTCTGTTGCCATGTGGCGGGATGGAAATCGGCTGGTCGACGGGCTGATTGCGCGGCTCGAGGGGGGTGGCCGGCCGGCCTGGGTCGAAAATCTCCGAGACCTTCTCAACTTTCCCCCAGACAGCACACTCTAGCCAGCCTTCCCACTTGGTGACGCGGCGAGAGGGGTCTGACGAGACTTCATATGGTTGCCTTGTGCTCATGAAGTTGTTCATGCGAGCTGGATTACCTCTATGGGACTGGATAGCGTGATGCCATGAGCTGGACTTGATCTACGAGTCTCCCTTCAACCGCGACGGTTCCTGTTATTTTCTGATTACCTACCACATCAGAAACAGAGTGAGGTCCCATTGTTCAGCGACGCACGCATGCCGGACACAGGTATACCTTGACAGAAGGCAGACCAGTTTATGCGTAAAGATGACGCTTTCCTCAGCATGCCATGGGACTCAACATCTCAAGTACAGTTCACACTCGTTTATCCTATGAAGATAGCTAGAAAAGTAAAAATTGTTCATCCTCTTCCTCGCATGCCACCACTGTTCTGCTTGCCTTGGTGGATGGCGGCTCTGTGTGTGAACTCGAATTGTTGTGCCTGCCATCTTCCCTCGGTACGACCCCCCCACTACAGCCTGGACAGCTCAACCATCCATGACATGACCAGTGTGTGTGTGAGAAAAAAGCAGCATTAATCTATCTCACAAAACTCAAAAGGAGACTGTTCACGCCGCGAATCGACCAGAAGCAACGGAGTGTATTTCTGAGCTCTTTCACACCTTCGCCTAACTTGGGAACTCCTCGTAGTCCTTGTCACTCTGCATGACCACTTCAGAATTTGCTGACCTTTTTTCCTGGACGGCAGGGACGCGAGTGGCCTTCATCACGAAATGATATAAATCCCTGCGATGGATATGTCTCGACGAACGATTCCTCATCACTCCAAAGAAGAAGAGCCCAGCAAGGCCAACACGCGACTCGAGTTCGACCTCCGTGTTCTTGATACGCGGCTTTTACAAATTTCAGTTTGCTGGGAGGCAACTGTGGCAGAAACGCGACAGCCCCAACACTCAGAAAATTGAAACCATTACGAGCTCCATGGGATCCAATAGCCCGAACTTGGATATATCTACTCCTAGTAGACAAATTCGAAGATACCTATACCGCAGCTATTATTCACGGTGCAATCAACACACACTCTCTCTTATGCTCACACATACATCCATCTCGGAATGTTTTACGTTGGCTGTCAGCAGGCGCTACAGATGACAGGCGGCTCTTGCGATGGCGGACTTGGAAAGAAGTTAAATGGGACACGCTATTCATATACCTGAACACGCGACTTCACAACCTTAACCGACCGTGGCGGTACACATATGATACTACCTGCCCTTTGTTCATGTCCTGCGCAGAAGCTGGAGAAGAGCGACCATTTGCCCTCCATGAGCCATGGAATGTACGACCCCTACTTGACACGATGAACACCTACAATATTAGGGGGGCGGCGAACATGGAACCCCAGAACTTCAGCAGCATAGGCTATTGATCCAATTTGCTGGGTCTCTCTGCTTCATGTTTACAAGACGGGAAAAGATATAGGTACCAACCATCGATGCGATCTACGTCACAAGGGATCAAGAAGAACTACGCACTCCAAGCAGATGTAGAGGTAGGCAAATACCTAATCATGCTTCGATCGCCGTGAGCCATCCATTATTCCTGATGATAAGGCTCAAAGGCTCACACATAATACCTGAGAACATCGCAGACACTCCACGATATTCAACAAACCAACCCGACGAACGAACAAAAAGAAGATCCAAACAGAGAGAAACTACCTCTACCTACTTCTACCGACAGAAGAACCAATTCCACCCTGAGCCACTGTTGATCATATAGCGAGATGAAAGACCCAAGTTCCAAATCGAGGAGGAGATGAATTGAACAAGAGCGCTTGCCTATAACCTCCTCATCAATGTCAGCTACATCTAGCTACCTCTACGGTACGGGCAAGCTGAGCACATTTGTTCCTTTTGGTTAAGGGGGTGGCCCAAGGAGGTGGCACTCGACAACTCTGGGGCTGGGTTGCCAATTTTCAATCCATTGAGCTGCTCGGGTTGCAGGTTCCGGACAACATGTTGCTGTTTCTTCAGTTCATCCTGAAGGGCAACCGTTTTTAGCGTCCAATGCCGCTGGTGCCATTTGGACATCAAAGGGCCTGGACCTCTTAGCTTGCATGTTAATGGGTGACATGAAGACATGGATTGAGCGGGGGTTGTCGCGGTTGATGAGGTGACAAACCCCACGCGTCCTCGGGTGATCGAAGAGGGACCACAGATCCAACAGTCTACTGGCGTGAAAGAAGATTAGGTTAGTGATCTACACCAGGCACAGTCGGGCCAAGGCTGGGACCAACACCAACCTGAACGCCAAGCCTTACCCCTGAAGCGGGTAAACAGAGCACGGAATGCCCTCTATATTCAGATGAAGTCGGTATAGCAGACTAGGTAGTTTTGAGTTGTGTATTCGGCGTATGATTTGATGAAATCCTGGACATTCATCAAGGAGCGACACGGGGATAAAGTCGGAATGGAGGAGGTTTGGCAAGGCAGTGGACAACACTTGAACGCCAGGGATCACGCCACCCGACCTTGATGAATCACGACTTATATGCACCACGACCTGCAACGGGAAAAACCAAGACGACGCCAAAATAAGCTTTTTCGAACCCGTCCCCGACTCTCTAGACCCCAGCTCGACCCCCATAAACGTTTAGGAGAGACTCCAAACAAGAATGCAACGCCAAATAATGTAATAGTAAAACTATTGACCGACCAAGCAACCAAGACAACGCCGAGCTCCCAAAAAGTTAAAGGCAACGCAGAGCAGTTGAGGTGCTTCTATGAAGATAAAAGAAATACAAGGAGGACCGTCTCCTACAGAGTCGTACAGGAAGTGAAACCGATCACACTCCGTCGGGCATAATGACCGACATATCGGTAGCGCGTGACGAGTGCGTTAGGGGGCCGGTATAGTAATGGCGTCCATGGGTAAACCAGAAACCGAGGGCAAAGATGAAAACGAAGAAAAAGACAACAATGGCGTAGTTCATCTGGAGGACATGTTAGCATTGCCGCATCCTCTGTAGGTAGAGCCCAAGCGGGAGAAGATGGCGGTACTCACATTCTCAGGTGTAACAGGTAGCCGCGTCGGGAAGAAAAAGATCACGGCCATGAACGAATTCCAGGCAACCGCAAACGCATTAACCCAGATACTATATTTGCCCATATGCCAAGGCCCCTTCTGCATGCGCCCATAGACCATCTTGCAAATGATGGGTATGACATAGGACACGTTCAATGCAACCGTACACACATTGAAGACGGCGCCAATGGCAGTACTGCTTGCTAAGCCGAGAAGATTGATGATGATCTCTAGAACAGCATACGTCCAAACGGCGATAAGGGGAGTTTGTGAGCGTTTGGAGATACGGACCCAGATATGAGAGAAGGGAAGAAGGTTATCGCGGGAGAGGGCGAAAATGGTCCGACTGCCGGCTTGTATACCAGGGATCGCCACGAGATTCATCACGCCGAAGCCGCAAAGTGTAAAGAAAATTGCGGGAGCACGGCCCATGCCATTGAAGAAGAGTTGTGCGACCTTGTTATTGACAATGTTAACTTGGAGAGGTCAGAACATGGAACCTTGGCTTGGGTAAACTTACCGGTTGGCCACTGGGGCTATTTATCAGGTCTTTGGGGTCGCCCATGCAGACAACCAAGACCAGGTTGAAAAAGAATCCAATAACATAAGTGAACGTGGTCGCGTTGGCAATGGCTCTAGGTACAACCATCTGAGGGTTCTTTGCTTCTTCAGCAATGCTTTCCTCGAGTCAGCATCATGACTACTTTCATCATCCATGGGTCAGCCCACAAACTTACCGAGCTGTACCATCACAGCCAGTCATGATCCAGGCTGGCGTAAGGCATCCAAAAAGAAAGGCAAAACCAGGAGGGCTCCAGCCCGATGAAGGCTGGAAATCGGTAAAGGCATATTTGAGATCGTGCATATCGTGCCGCTTCTGGACCAACAAGGTAACACAAGCGCCGAGTAGAACACTAATGTGGAAGACAACATAGCCGCTTGTTAACCGGTTCAACCAAGCCGTCGGTAGAGTGTTGATCATGGCATGAATAATAGTAAGCCCTATCATGACACCCACAACATGGGTTGGTGTGGGCACGTAGCTGAAGTTGGATGTAATCGAAACAGCTGCAAGAAGCATCTGGCTCGCGGCATATTCGGTAGAGGCACCACCTGCAACGGTACCCACGAGATTGAGATAACCTTTTGCAGATCTGGTCAGCAACATGGGAGAGACGAGGGTATCCTAGACATGGAACTTGCCGGCAATCCAACATAGAAAGGGAACTTGCTCTTCAGGAGCGAGAAACTTCAAGGTGAAGTACATGGCCCCGGAACTGGGGTAGGCAGATGCGATCTCAGCGATACTGTATGCAAGTGCCCACCCGCCAGCGCCGCCCATGATCCAACTCCACATGATAGCAGCCGCACCTCCGGCTTGCAGGCCGTATATCCATGTCGACATGAGTGTGCCATATACTCCAGATATGCTCATAGCAAAACTGAAGCTGGACCACCTTGAGAACTCGCGTTTGAATACCTATGATATGTGAGTAGAAGCCCACAAATCTTCAGGAGAGCGAGGCCCTCTGATACTAAACTCACTGGTGTATAGCCCAACGCCTCCAGCGCCTTATCGCCACTTTCGATAGAGCTTGTTGATGGCGTTGGAGCTGCAGCTTCGCCAGAAGATGGAGTGCTTTGCCGGGTCATTTCAGTAATCTCGATGGCGGCGTCTGCCGATTTGTTTGGTGGTGAAAAAGACATGGTGGCACAAATGGTGCCGATGGGCTTTATGTAAAGGAGCTTGGTACAGAATCTTCACCGGATTCGATATCAGATCGGGGCTTGAGTTCCCCTCTTGCGAAGCGTTGTGTTCCATAGACAAACAATGACAACGGGATGGCTGTGATTTTATATGGACGATACCAGTCAATACGGTTCTGACCGCCACATTCAACACGAGTCGCTCACTGAAATATTGGGCACTTTGACCTTCGTTCTCTGGTGAACCACCCCGCACAGTTCAGGTATCTGATGTTCGAGGCATAGTAAGAAGACCAGGAAACAATCCTTGTGGGGCTGATTCTTCCAGACATGCACTTTTGTTGCATGCACGTGCGTGCCTCAGAAATCGTACATGTGGGTTGTGCATCGACGGGCTCAATCCTTGCGGTGATAAGTTCGTCTGGAGCTCTTCAGCTGAAGGCTAGACCCATCAAGCTGTTCGTCCCATAGTGTCGTCCAAGCTGAGGGTCGAGACCCAAGACTTGTTACGGTTAAGTCTTTGGAACTCGAGTCTCGAAAGCTGATATCGATCGGTCAAGGAGATAGACACCGCCTTGGTCTCGGCCTGGCCAGTCTGTGACGGTGAGTTTCGAAAGACGCTAGTGTCCTCTTCAGGCTTCCATCTCCTTTTACTGGTCTTCTGATTTGGTAATCTTGTAGTAAAAGGCAGCCGTTTGACTGTTGATACCCCCGGATGGAGGTGAAAGAGTCGCGCCCTGCTCATAGTAAGACCCGCTTATCCGCCCGTGTTCGAAGTATTCCGATGTCGGCACTCGTCGGCTTGGGTCGGCTCAAATCGGTTTGGCAACTTGATCCCTTCTTTTCCTCGAATGTGTGGTGCTTTCAAACCTCTTCGCCCTGATGATGTCTGCGGAAGAATGGCGCACGATGTTGTAAGACCTGTAGGATATTGGTTTGGTGGTTTCGTAGCTTGTTGTGCGTCAAGAGCTCTACCTAGCACACCAGGAGGCTTTGGATTATCGTGAACGATTGTTAAGGTAAGTTTGACTAGTATGAAGTGTTGGATGTTAGCGAAAGATTGCCAACACATTTAGAACACTACTTGGGGCAAGAGGGTCCGCCAGCAGAGCCCCTCAATTACCGTCTCTCATTCGTCCTGGCTTTACCGACCAATGGGCATCTATACCCACATACTGTAACCATGCTCGTGACAACCAAAAGCATCGGTCACTCCTGAAATGGTCCAGACTCTTATAGAGGCGGTGTATGCATTGGTCACGCTTTAAGCCAACTCTTTAGACCCAAGACTCGAACGGTCTCCCAGCTTACCTGTTCGAACGTACAGTTCTTGCAAGTCGCGCAGTGGCCGGAAAAATATTCGCTTCTGAGTTGAATGATGATAACGTGTTGATGTGGCCAATTGTTGGGTCTGGAAGTTTGATGTCGACCAAGACGTGCTGTCGAGTTGAGCGACGCAAGGGCTCGTGGGCCGGATATCGAGGATGGGGCTCTAAGGCGTCGGATAAAGCTACTAAAGTGATGTATGGACGGTGAATTTATCAATGAACGGAATCAATGCCTTGTGTAAAGGTATTTACTTTCAGAAATGGGTTTCCTGCAGTTTGGTGGTTGCTGGCAGAAGTGTCCCAGGCCACGCTCTGTTTGGATGTCTGGCACACTGTGAATTACTGATGGAACTTAGATAGTAAGTACAGTATTAGTATGTGATCCCTCGCTCTGCCGCATACTATTGTCTCATGGATTGCGAGCTGCCGCGTCCGACCAGTTGCGCCTACCCGCCCGAAGAGCTAAATATCCCCAACAGCAGTTGGTTAGCTGGCTGGCAACGGAACCTCGTCTGTTACATAGAAATCTGCGGGTTAGGGTTGTTTGGGGTATGATTTTCCGACTTTGTGTGATCCGAGTCTGCTACGGACCAGCGGCTCGGGTCTGACTTGACTTCCATGACAGGTAAACTCACTTTATTTGAGAAGGCAGATGTCTCGTTTTAGACACGGGTGAGTGTACCAACGTAGAGCTCAAAATCAACAACACCAACGAGCAGCATCGGTTCGGTTGCCGGAGGCTTTGACCCACTTGTTGGTAGGTGGGTGTCCGCTTATGTCGACTGGGTCAACTCATTTGGTAGAGGTACCCCGGGGATCCGACGCCGAAGGCCTCCATTGCTCCAAATCTACCTCTACCAGGTAGTATGCAGGAACACACTGGACAGAGCTAATTCACAGCACGTCGTTTGCTGTATACAATATTTGATGATGATGACGTGTTTCAGAAATTTACGAATCATTCGACTGACTGTATCTACAGGCGGGGTCAATCTGAGTTCAATTCTCAATGTCGAGGGACCGAAATTCTGAGAGGTTAAGTACTTATGTACGGTGGAGAGGCGCAAAAGTTGTCCTCGTCCATCGTGACGTTATGCCTTTGGCAGATTGAGGCACTTGAACGTTTTCCGACAGAGATCATAATTATGTGGAGGACCTCGCCGACATACCCCACGGCAGCGGCAGCTTGCTTCGGCGACCGGGCACATGTCAGTGCATCTTTTGGAAAGATAATTTGGCAAATGCCATGGACGACGATCATGTTGTGTGCTACGACAAGAACGACTAGTGGCTCCCCCTCCCTTCAACCCCGGAATTCTTCAAGAAGGTGCCTTGGTTGAAAAAGGGAACTATACGTAGATTTCATTACGATCACTTTCGGGAAGGGCGAAATCAGGAACGGCCAGAACAGGTATAGCGTGCTCGGCCCCGCTATACTATTAGTACGTCGACGTCATTACAGCCACCGACCCTTGCTCGCAATCATGGCAGTCAGTTTTGGCAGCGATTGCCAGCAACGCGCCAATTTGAGCGCCTTTGACAGGTACTATATATATAGGAAAGTGAAGTGTCATTCGGCAATCAGGGATGGAAGAATCAGGGGTGCGGTAGGCACGGTACTGACCGGCAAACGATAGTGCAGGTGTCAGAGACAGGCAAACACAACTTGAAGACGGACGGCAGCGAGACGGACCATGATCGACCGTGCAGCAAAATGACGTAGAATGGCGGGGCAACTGTGTCTTTGAAGCTTCCACCAAGCCCTCCCCTGCCTTTGGCTGCCAACCATCATCGTCATGCAACCGCAACGCAATGCACGGTGGGGTGTCGTCCTTCCATGTGGTCGTACAGGCATATAAGGAACGCATCGGTCACACACTCCAAACCTCTTTCGTAGAACATTATCACTGCTTCCAATTCTCCTACTACAATAAATCAAGAGAACATCTTTCTCCAACCAACAAGACCAGCCACAAAATCAAACCCGCAAATCACCAATCCCATCAAAACCACCAAAATGGCCTCCAACCCCAACAAGCCCGGTGCCCCCCTCTACTCCCAGGCCGTCTCCCAAGACGCCGGCGAGCCCGTCACTGCCGAGCAGATCGAGAAGGCCCCCAAGACCCTCGCTTCTCTAGAGAAGGAGCAGAAGAGCTCCACCGAGAAGAAGGATGCGCAGAGCGAGAGCAAGACCGAGAGCTCCTCCACCTCCAACGATGATGCGCAACAAGAAAAGTCCCCCGGTCTCCTCGCGAGCGCCACCAGCACCGTCACCGGCGCCGTCGGAAGCGTAGCCAGCGGCGTCACCACCACGGTCGGAAACACCACCGCTTCCGTCGCCAACACGGTTGGCGGTGTAGTCGGCGCTGCCTCGCGCGGCATCGGCGAGACCATTACCAGCGTCACGGGCGGCCTCGGAAAGCCTGTTGGCGAGACCATTGCCAGTGTTGGTACCAGCTTCGAGGGCGCCGTCAGGGGCAAGAGCGAGGAGAAGGACGACAAGGAGACCAGCAACAAAAAGAAGGAGGAGGAGGACAAGTAAAGGATCGGATACCCTACACATTTCAATTGCATTAGGAGTTTGTTGGTTTCGGGATGCATGTATGAATGAATTTGGGAAAGCATTTTCGTCACAAAGGACATGGTGTTTTTGCAAGCCGAGTCACTACAGCGCGGGAAGCATGTCTGACTCCGTCAGTGGAAATTTCGCATTTGGGCTTAGGTCTCGCACATAGGAGACGTGTGTGTGTTGAGAAGATATAATAACACGATACCCCCATTTGAAACACTTTATTTCGTTCCATATGATTGCTCTTGTGCTTGGTTCACGCACCGTCTTCACTAATTTGTTGTCCCGCTGTTGCAAGTGTCATGTAGAGACGGCTCGTTGAGGATAAAAATACCCACGATGCGCGAAGAAAATATCAGGCCTCAAGGAGGTTTGAAAGTATCAGTTAACAAGCACCGAGAACTGTTTGTAGGTATTCACTTGCGATCGAGTGACAACGAAGTCACCGCAATATCCACTTGACTTCACAACACAGAGAGGAACTACAAGTTTTTGGAGACGATAGTGGTATTCGTATGTTTTTAGACTACTCTGATTTCCACTTATCCTCTTCCGTTACCACTGCAAACTCAAACACATTCTGTCGTCTCCTTTGCACCTCGCTCAGTTCTGGCAAACTTGGTTGTCTGCACAGGGTCAGAGGCTTCCCAACACTCCCAGGACGTTTAGCGGTGCTGACGCACTTTGGAAAACTTCTCCTTCTTCTCCTTTCTTTTCCTTCTTCTTCTCCTCCTCCTTCCGCAAGCGGCGCTTCCTCTGTTCTTCCGTTTCATTCGGGTCAGGAGCGGGCCCAGCAGGAGAGGTGCAGAGATTTGCATCGCTGAACAGTCAACCTGATCAAGCGGAAGTGAAGGTGAGATCAAGGTGAAGGTCGTGTCAACCTGGATTCTTGCCCCGCGGTCTACAAGTGACAGGGTCGCTGACGGACTCCAGCGAGCGGTTTCCTCTATCGCTATACCTCCAGCATCCCAACTCGCTCTTCTTTTGCTTCTTGCGCTCAGCCTTCTCCTCGGCGGTCTCGCCGTTGTGCTTCTTGCGCTTCTTGTTGTCGCCGGCCTCCCCGCTGATCTTCCTCTCCTTTCGTAGAGCTTTTTGTGAGGGCAAGGCATCTTGGTTGTTGGTGGCTATTACCATGCAAGGTAGGCGATGAGTTGATGGTTGATGAACTGGTTCAACGATTAGTCACGTTTCTGATGGGAAGGAAAGCGAGGGATAGACATATAGGTAAGGTACTTACTGTCCAGCCCCCCGGCTTGATGTTGAAGCCGTTGGGTCCAACAAACCGGCCGGAAGAGAACCTCGCTCGGTAGGAAGGTCCAGATTCAGACTGCCCAGACATGCAATGTCTGGCAACTTCGTTAGTTCCGCCGCTCGTAGTCATCGGTCCCATCATGATCGGAAAGAACGGGGAGGCCATGTGAGGTGAGGCCGAAATTGAGGGTCCACTCCAATGGTGCTTTGGAATATTCTTTGGTGATGTCGGTGAATTGTACAGACGAGCACATACCTAGAGGTACCTCTACGTTCCCTGGCCTTCGCGAAGAGCTTCTTGATCTTTGAAAACATATTTCTGCGTAACCAGGGCACACGCCAATACTGTAGTGGACAAGGGTGCAGAGGGATACCCGGCGTAGCGTCTTCGCCGGGCCTGATCCCCGTGATGGCGTGTGCCTGGATTCGGTGGTGGAGATGGCGATAATTGTTATTTTTGGCCGATGACGGGACGCATGGTTTGTCCCGTCATCGACCAGCACAATCGAAAAACCGGAGATTTGACCACTGTGGTTTATAAATGGTCACCAACCATACCTGTAGGTATACGATAACGAAAGAGTGACAGGACGAGAGCGGAGTTTTACCTGGCGTGGCCGGCACTACAGTCGTTGGCGACAGTGTCTTTCTTCTCCTGCCTCTTCTTGTCCTCGACAGACAGCTTCTTGGTGGTGCCGGCGGCCAAAGACATATTACTGCCCCTGGGTACATTATCAAGCCAGGTCAGCCAGATGCACTTCCTTTTTGTTGACATGATCGCAAAGTGAAAGGAGCTTGAGTGTCTGCTGAGCTTTGTGTGCCCCTTTGCCAGACCCAGAATGCCCAAACTCGTAACGAGGATGATTTCAAACCTGGAAACAGGTAATCAAGGGGTGGAGACGCTCGTCAAGGCAGTTTATGGAGCTCGTACCTTATGCAAACAGTCGAATGGACCAGCAACAACTGTTGAGGCGCGAAAAACAGTAACTGGTTGTTTTTGTTCAATTTCCACGCCGCTTGGGCAGTGGGAGCGAAGGAGATGCCTAAATGAGTCGGGAGATGTGTTAGCACTTCTAGGCGGCTACTTGGTATTTGTCTCCAAGGTACGAATACGTTGGTATTGGATGATCACATTAAGTTACCTCATAATACTTTGACAGGATGGGAGGACCCTTAGGGAGGGACTCAACTCCTCGCGGCACGACGTTCCCTGTTGAGGAGGAGAGGAGAAGACGACATTTAAGGCAATCGGTTAGGGTTGAGAGTTGAAAGTTGAAGTCCAAGGGGCAGTAGAATGCGGGAGCAAATGCTTGATGACTCAAGTTCGAGCCGTGAAAGAGCTGAAGAGTTTTGTGGAAGAGTCAAGTAGATTGTGCGGCGAAGTAGGGCAAGATCTTGTGCAAGTTCCAAAGCAGGTACAACCTGAAACGGAGAATGTGGAAGGTACTAGTACTTCGGTCTATGAACGGTCCGACGATACTATCTGGTATGGAAAGTACATACTGTACGGTAATAAACTTGCCGTACGAGAAGACGGTCGGTAAAGAGGATGGCCAACCATAAGAGGTAGGTAAGTATACTTCCCTAACCTGGAAATAACGATCCTGTGTGAGTACATGTACCGTAACCGCCCCGGCTACCTTAGGACATGCCAGCCTCAGTGGCTCTACTGAATCGTTCCCTCGTGTTTCGTTCGTTGCCTTCCAGCTCCGTTGACTGTGTTGACTCCGTTCCCCTTGAGTTTCGTTCGTCGCTCCGTTCCTCACTTTGTCCGACATCCTCAACCGGAGCCCCGACTTGGGCTTTATCAACGTCCATTTGCCTCCGTCGTTCATTTGCAAACCGGGCCATCTGCGCTCGGTTTCGTGCTATCCGCCTTCGCCTTCTGGCTCTGTTCTTCAATATCCCCGAGTAGACACATCCAACCGAAGCCATGATTATAAACAACGCATGAAGAAAGCTGAATCGAAAAGTTCGACGTCAGCAATGGCATCAATGTCAAAGAGAAAAAAAAGACCAGCTTGACTCCTGCGACCAGGGAAGGTGTAAGGAGCAATCAACAACGTGAGTGTTCCGCATCAGACACTTCAATCAGATCCAATGACTTACCAAAACACAATCATGAAGATCATTGCTTTACTCTGGTCCCTCCTCCATCGTTCCTGCGTGGAGTCCGTTCTAAGTCTGTCCTGAACTGGGTCGTTGTCGATAAGCCCTAGAAGGAGGAAGCAAAAGGTGCTACCAGCGCAAATCAGGACGTCGAAGCACACGGCAATGACATTGATCGGTCGTCGCCGGTCCAAGCACGAAAAAGAGACGATCTCGTATGCGTTCACAAGAACGGCCACGCCAAGCTGCGCCCTCCATGTTAGCAAGAGAGGAACCAATTCAACTGCCATCTTTGCTCAAGCCAAGAGACGTACTGGAAAGAAGCACGGGAAGATCAAGTCCACCCTCGCGTTGGGATCCCCCTTCCATCCATGGTACCACCAGCCCATTAGAGCGAGAATCCCCGCCTCATACATCAAGGCCAGGAAGCGGGATAGGATTTGCGACAGCTTGAAAACGAGCCCTGGCCCGGCATCATACCTCGAAAGGCTTCGAGAACCCCGTTCGACATCCATCCATACCGTCCACCCACGTTCCGTGACAGTTGCTGATTCCTTCCAGTCCTGCTTTCACCCCTAAGCAAGCTGGAATTGTGAAGTATCGGAGAAGCTCTTCGGAACACGGTATTGAAAACCCGAGGTTTCCGGGATTGCCCAATGGGTCTTTCTAGAGGTCACCTCCAAGCTACCAACCACCTTAAACTCCTCTTCAGTCCTCCCAAAAGTTGGTTTCCTTTACCACTACTGCTTTCCAAGCATGAGCTAACCTCTAACAGCGCCCGGTCGGTTCCAGATATTGAGTTGTCGCCGTCGTTGTCGCCGTTGTCCGAGCATCGAACAGATGGGAGAAAAGGAGAAAAGACAAAAAGAAGCGATGGAAAGTTAAAGAGGAGGAAACCATCATCATAAACACATCTCGTCCCGAAATCCAGCAACAGCGAATCTCCGCTCCCAACGTCAGCAAACATGGGCACTACGGCACCGATTCTAAGCACTACCTAGCGGAACAAGGCCCAGCGGCGGCCAGCAACCGACGACTCGGAACAGCGAACGAACGGGAAACCCCAGCCACCAAAGATTTCTTCGAGACCCAAACCAGGTCGTGAACCCTGCATGTGCAGAGAGCTGCAGCGAGCGGCGCGCCTGTAACATAACGGGCTGTTGCCTGTCGAGCCTGACTGAAAGGGGAATAGGGGCAAGCCACATTTGGGGTTGGGGGTGCTTGGCAAAATGCTACCGAGTTACCGACCCACGATCCTTCACGACCAAGCTATTCCCGATCGAAAGTGCTACCTCGGATATAAATTGTACAACTACATACCTACCTCTCTGTACACGCATTCTCATCCTTTCGTCGTCTGGGAGAAGACCACAGTCGATGGTTTTTGGTAAGCAATATTTGAAGCAGAAGAGTTCGCTGCTCTCTTCCGTCCGAATTGACCCTCACAGAACCTCTTCCATGTACATCGGTAGACTTTGAACCGCGCAGTGTCTCTGCAGGATCGTCAAGGTTGACTCCTGCGGTACCTTTATTCGAGCCACCATTCTACCAGTGAAGAGCTTTTCCTCTCCAGAACCCGTGGTTGGATGTATCCCGAACTAACGACAACTTATGTACATGTAATTGGACCCGACGTCACCAGCGAACCCTGCCAATAATAACGGCCGCCTACAGCACTGTGTACATTGGTACTGCTAACAAGTGATACTTGTTCCCCTTGCAGTTCACATGTCTGCATGTGCTGTGGACGGTGATGTCGGATCAGGGGGCCATGCCACTGCCGTACTCGTCCTGCGAATGGCATGTGGTGTTCGTATCTATGCTGGGCAACCCAAAGATGAGCTTTGTGTGATGTTAATTGCTGGTCACTGTCTCAAAGGGGTAGCATGTTATTGTTTTGCTTCTTTGAGCAACTATTTTCAGGGGTATCAGCGGGGGGCGGGAAACTACATGTAGACTACCGTGCCCTGGTCTCGTGCTCTTGGAGATCGTCCAAAGACAGATTGTGGCCGAACAAACAATATAAGATGCCATTCAAAGGATCAAGTTCATCATGGCTAGCGCAAGGAAATAACACAAGATACCTAGGTATAGGTCCCCTCTTCCTGGAAGCCGCAGCCGATAGTAATAGACTTTCCTGGGGCAGGGGCCGCTGAAGGCTCAACTGCAAGGCTGACCACAAGAAACTTTTCGATGTCCTAGATAACATAGCCAGTAGAGGATGACATATATTGAAAGCTTGGACGAGAATGCGCAAAACTGTAGGAAATCCTGGATGCGGTCGAGGATGTTTCTGCTCAAGCGCTATCAACTGAAGCCATGCAAGGCCGTACCACCTTCCCCGTTTACGTAGACATGGACAAGAAGTAACCAAACAATGACCAAACAGAGAATCTAATCAGCGTGGTTGACTGAATGTACGTAAGAAACCAAGGACATGCAACTGCTGTACCCAACAAAATCCATATCGCGCCGTTGAAGGCACACCACAAGCATAATAACTTCCGTAGTCGTCACCCTTATATCTCGTCCTCTTGCATCGAAGGAAATGACCAGACACGTGTCACGTATTCCAGCTGAGCAAATACCAGAACTGGCAATTACCATTTACCCGATCGGTAATGAAATTACGCCGTTCACTCCTTTCCCTTCACTTCGTTCCTTCCCATCGGACTTCTCGGTGCCCCTCGGGCCCGAAACGCTGAGTTAGCCCCAAGGTAGTAAAGAAACTTCAACAGTCTCCCTACTCCTCTCTGTCTTTTGTTGAGCCTCGCGGTCCGTTAGATCTGGGCTCTAGGATACACGAGAACGAGTGCCTAACCTTAACGGACCAAGTTGGCACATGCAGATGGCCAACGGCCTCATTCACTTTTCTTCTAAACCACAAGGCAGGCAGGCAGCGAGGTACAAAACTATGTAAACACTCACCTTGATTCGTTCTTGCAACCCAACTTTATGTTCGCTGAAGAAGCCTCCAGTCTTTCCAGATGACATTGACAAAGGCAAAGGACCTTGATGACCACGCAGCCCCAAGTCCGTTTGTTCCTGCCTTTCTTGTCAAACTTATCAATACGTTCTAGTAGACTGGAGGTCCCAATCATAACCTCTACTGTAGAGGTAGCCACGCAATGCAGGTGTAGCAGTCAACTTGAAATGACCCCACTCCGGTCTGGTGCCCTTTTTTTCTCTGCTTATCTTCTATGTCCTTGTAGGCTTTTGCGTATATGCAGGAGCTTCTCCAAGGTTGGGACGGAAGCGGGGCTGGGACTTCTTCCACATGCCACTTGACATCACAAATCGACATCTGCCGATTTAGGCCCAAATCCTCTAGACCATAAGGATGGCAGCAGTGATTCCAAAGTTGGACTTCATTACCGGTTAGTAAGGCTGGCTTGTAAAGTAGGCTGGCCCTTTCCAAGCTTAACGTGGAAGCAACCAAGGGTTAGGATAGAGTGAGATCGTCCAGGTTAGCGATGCTAATACGGGAACTGTGACGGCGAGAGGGGAGGAGTCAATGATTTTTACTATAGCTGAGGACATACTCCCATTCACTGGGAGAGTATGGCAATCTACAGTCGGGTAATGTAAAAGGAGACTGTTCTGCCGAGAAGACTTCCATTGGTAAGCTGCCAGCCCTTTGATAACCCGCGGCGTGTTACAGTGATGGCAGACATAAGGTCTGCGTTGACACCTACCAGACACCTCATATTTGCTCATTGGGGAAATTCGCCTCAATCCACGTTATCAATGTTCAAGTCAGCTCATTCATTATTGAATACAATGTTCATATCCGTATCCAAAACAGAGCATACCCAAGGTAGTAGACGAGGCAAGCAAAACTGGAAGTCTTTCAACGTTGGTGCAAATCATCTTTCGCTCTTCCTATTTTAATACAGCAGTCAATTTCCCACTTTTACTTCCCTCTTAGTGTTGCTAGTACTTGGGCTTTTCAAAAGCCTCCCATCAGTCCCATGTGAATGCTTGAAAGGCTCTGGAGAAGCATGGTAATGTACGGGCTGAGACAGCAGCTCTTGATGGGCAGGGCTGCTCGGCCATAATCACCACAAACGTTAGTGAATGATGATATGCCGAAACGCCGCTTTCACCGTATCCAGAATTATCAAGGATGGCTGAAAGTTCGTCGCCGGGACATGGATGGCCATGACATAGGTAGTTAAGATGCGTCCTGTGAATGGTCAGCCTTAGCTATGTATGGGAAGGGCTCGGGCGTGGGCAACATCAATTGTATGTATCGATGTGAAGCGAGGAGAGTGACGGACGATGCATCAACTATAGCCTCAAACTCATCTAAAGTTAATCAAGATAAAGGGCACAGCAAGGCTCGGTGGAGATCATAGCGAAAATCGAGTGCAACACAGGACAAAAGACTATAAAACACAAAGCACAACGAAACGAGGTATAGCGAAGTGATTTAGCGATGCTAACCCGTAGATAACCCGCCACACGCACAGGAAACTGTGAGAGCCAACCTAAGCTAACTTGTGACGAATCTGTCAAGATATCTTTGTATCTGGGTTGCGGAAAAACTTCCCATCGCTCGATCGTCCAGATCAAATGAACGAAAGCAACAATGCTCGCCGTAAAACCAATCTAAAGACGCATTGACAAGCAAGAATTTTGAGACTAGACCACATCCTCTTTCCATCGTAAAACCCATGATCATTTTGAAAAACTCCGCGCAGCAAGCCATTTCGTAGAGTAGACCAGAAAGACCCGTACGACGCCCCAAGCAAACCCCAAACGACACAAACAACTCGAGCAAAAAGTGGCCACCTCGTCGTGGCTATCGGACCGAGAAGAATGATGGGAAATGCTCAAGCCAACCGGTTACCTGGGGACGTTTTGATTGCCGGTACGCCACACCCCAACGCCGAGCGATGATCAACCATAAGCATAGGCAGAGCGTGATTACTGTCGATGTTGTTGTTAGCACAGACTAAAATGTTGTTTGAGAAAAGAAACAGGTTGTTGAAAAGAATTGAAGAAAAAAGTTGTTGTCATGTTAGGTCGTTGGGTTGATTAGGTCCAGAGGTTGTGTGGCTCCCGAGTCTCATTTCATTCCGCCACGGCGGAAGAAGCGGCCAACTTGGCCATGTGAACCACTGGGTTCAGTCTTAGGCTTGGTGATTCGGCCGTTGAGAACACGGCCGTTGCTGCCACTAGCAACTCTGCTAGTGGGCTGGCGGCGACGTCCAGGTTTGGACGCCTCCAATGTGGCCGGCGGGGGGGTCACTGGGGCCGTGTAAAGAGTGGCATAAGCCAAAACAGGAGTGGGCGGGATTTTCGGGGAGCCGGCAAGTTGAGCCGGGGAGGGGGCCGGGGTATACTGATTAAAAAGGGTCTGGCCTACCAAAGCCGGGGGCGGTCCGCCGTTGCCGCCGAAGTGAGGAGCGCCATAAGGACCAGCAGGGCCGGGCGGAGGAGGAGGGCCCATGTAGTGAGGCGGAGGGGGGGCGGGGCGGTAGGGAGTACCGACGCCGGAGTTGTTCTGGGAGCGACCCCAGGAGAGACGGACGCGAGAGTTGCCGATCGGGTAACCCTGCATCTGGTTGATGGCCATTTCGGCCGCGTGGCGGTGGACAAACTGAACAAAACCGCATCCCTTGCCGGGAGGGATCTTAACGTAGGTGATTTCACCGAAACCTTGGAAGAAGGAGCGGAGCTCATCCTCAGTGACGTAGCCAGAGAGACCGCCGACGAAGACAGTCGTGTTGTTGGGGTCGGTAAACTGGTTCATGGGCTGCATCGGGTTGAAACCGGAATAGTACGGCTGGGGGGGAACTCCCCACTGAAGGTTGGTCGCGTGAGCGGGGACAGGGGCCATCATGGGGTTGGCGGCATGGGGTGCATGAGCGCCGTACTGATGAGTTCTGCTAAGAAGTGTTAGGACCGCGTTCAAAAGTATAAAAGGGCAAAGGACTAACCTAGTCTTCGGAGTCGCGGTGCTAATTCTCATCGGACGATTGCCACAATAAACGCCTTGCATCTCGACGAGCGCCCTCTGCTGATCTCCTTCGTCTGAAAAGCGAACAAATCCGTAGCCGCGGGATTGGCCGGTCATGGCATCGGTCATGATCTTAGCTGACTTGCAGGACGGGAAGCGAGACTGGAAAAGCGAGACGAGGACAAACTCATTGACCTCGGGACCCAGATCGCCGACGAAGATGCTATACTCGGGGCCACGATCATCGCTATATTGCTATCAGTCACATGTTCAGTGGATGACAAGCAGATGTGTACGCACCGACGGTCAATCAGACCACCGCCGGAAGCCCAGTTCAGCTTGAAGGCACGGTTGCTGTTGGGAACCGGGGTGCCGTTCAGGTTAAGGGCCTTCTGAGCGGCCTCAGGGGTGGCAAACTCAATGAAGCAGTAGCCGGCGTTGCTGTGGTTCGGATAATGTAAGTATACAGGAGCGGCAGGACGTAAGGCGATGATCAAGATAGCACAGATACTTACCCAGAGTTGCGATCGCGGATGACCTTGACCTGAACTGTCTCGCCGAGGACAGTGGTGAAAACGTTCTTAATAAAGTTCTCGTCCATCCAGCCTTCCATTTCGCCCATCCTGAAACCGAAGTCAGACCTCATTCATGAAGACCATAGTGAACACAAGGTTAAAAGCGAGCCTAATGGCTTGGTACTTACCACAGGGTCTTGCTGGCCTCGTTGGTGCCGGGCTGAACAAGGGCGGCGGGGGCCTGGAAGTTGGCCTCAGAGTTGCCGTTCATGGTAGGAGCGGCGTTGTTGGTGCCGGGGGCTCCGGGAGCAGTGTAATCGGCCATGATCCTTTGCGCTGTCAGTCTAGTTCAGGAAGCGGCACGAGAGCATGAGATCTCGGCGACAGGTGACATGCGTGGTGAGGCGGACGCGACAGAAGATCGAAAGAGGAATGATCGGGTAAAAGAGGAAGCGGGGAAGATGGAAAGACGCGTGTGACTGCTGGCAGAAGGATCCAAAGTAGAAAGATAAGAGAGGGGATTGTTGCCACAGGAACAATGAAGGAAGCTGGAGGAAAGTGGGTATACGCAAGATGGGAAGGCAGATATAAACACAAAGTTGGGAGTGAGGTGAGATGGCAAGAAGTGTAAACGGCTGAACGATGACTGGACTTGTCCTTGTCCGAACTCTGGGCTGTTGTCCTGGATATGAACAAACGTCGTACCCGAAAAGGACGCGGGGCGTGGGAGATTCAAGGACGAACACCGCGAGGGTATGCTTCTCGAGTGTGAAAGTGGTGGAAGGGTGCAAAGTGATGCCTTACCACTTCGACAGCAAGTTGGTTGCGCAAGGCAAGGGTTGCTGAGGTGTAAGAGTGGAAGGTATGGCACAGAGGCCAGGGCAGGTGGAAGGCGGTAGTGGTAGGGTAGGGTACGTAGAAGTTGAAGGCAGGAACTGCGAGTTGAAGGACAAGGATGGAAGTTTGCCCAGAGTGGAGAAATTTTTGAGTAATGCTCTGCGGTCCCGATATTTTTGCCAAAGATGTGGGCACTGCTCAGTCACTCGGCCGAGTCCAGACAAGACCCTCTTGCCAGACTGCGCAAGCGCGCCTGCAGCATGCGCAAGCAGCTGGGAAGATGGCAAGGAAACTGGGATAGCAAGTGCCGCAAGTAAACAACAAGATCAACACTTACAAGTTGCGCAACTCGGCGAGCGTGTCGATGCGAGGTTTAGGTGAAAGCGGTATGTGCCGCAAGTGCGTGACGCGTCTCTGAAAACTCCTCATGCTGTCAGCTTTGACGAGTGTTGTGACAGTGTTGTGAGAAGAAGACAATCCAGGCCAGAACCACTGTCCAAGGACAATTTATACCCCGACATCCAGAATGAGCTGCCTGATCCATTTCAGGCAGAGACACAGTAGGGCCATCCGTGACACAATAGGATTCTGCTCATATGCAAAGGCCAGAATGCGGAACACCTAATGTGCTCAAGTGCTCACCACATGGGATGAAAGGGAAGTACAAACACAGGAGGGAAGGAGGCAGACACTCACCGGTGTCGGGTGAAGTGGACTCAACAAGCAATATGTTGAGCTGCAGTCGAATCGAGCGCTTCTTAGAGTACCGTTACGCCTAACAAGAACGTACTATGACGGACGAGTTGGTCGTGATGAGACGACAAACTGAAGATAGGAAGAGGATGGTTACCTGTATGCGGCAAGTTTTCGGGACGAAAGAGAAATAACAGCAGAGACCTGCGAAAGTCGGAGCATTAGTAAAAATTTGAGATAGCATGAATAGGCCCGTCCGTGCAAGATGGAGGCGGCATCCGTTGGCAACTCTTGTCATCCCAACTTCAATATTTGGCCGCTTTATGTAAAGCAAGGCCTTTACACACGCTCTCGGCACTAGCGTTAGTTTGGCCAGGCCGGCCATAACGGGCCAATCTTTAAACCAGCTTTGAGCAACTGCTGAGCAAAAAACGTCGTAGGCCACCGACGACGAAGAGCCTGGTATCAGAGGATGCGACATAGCGGCCTCAAGACCGACTACTTGTCCATCTGCTTGCCGGGTGTGTGATTTAGATGTAGATAGCGTCGAGTCCCATTCTTGATCCATTTCTTTGAAAGCCCGCCCGTGTGCCGTCTCACACGCTGAGTAGCAGGCGTCCCGTTGTGACTCAAGCCTGGAACGTGTGGGCCGCGGAGAGATCGTTGGAGACTTGGAAGGTCGAAAGTCTCGCCGAATGGGGTGTAAATTTTGGCAGGCGGGATATGAATCTTCGTTGCCCATGAATAAGGCCATTGAGAAGAGAGGATCCTTGTAGGAAAGGATCCGAGAGAGGGCGTGAACACCACCAATTCTTCTCACGGACTATCCAGAGACTCCATCTGTCCTGGGAACACACAGAAAGATCTCTCGGCCTGTGAGGTCCTCGACGTGGCCCACCGATCTCCATGTATCATGTTCATGTTCTCCTCCCTCCTCGATTTTCAAGGGCCTCCTGTTCCATTGAGTGTTTCCCATCTCTCGCTTTGGACGTAGTATTTTATCGAATCAGCGTTGCAGCGCGCTGTGTGGGCAGCGTAGCGAGGTCTGGGAGATCGGGGCTCGGGATGACGCCGGAGGACGGAGAAGGAAGTGCAATTCGGGGACCCTCGGACCTCTGAAGGGGGTACTCGTATCTTCGAATCGCGTGTAATCGAAGTTATCTGTTGGATGGGCCATTCCGGTAGATGTCCTATAGCTCTTTGCCAGAGAGCTTGGGAACCGTCACAACTACACAATAGCCGAGCTTCGCCGGGCACCACGCCGACGAACAGGATGTCGCTTGCCACGGCACACGCAGCTTGCAAGCACGGGATGAAGGGGAGACGAGACCGGTTGGGGAGCAGGACATGGCCAAGTGGTTGAACTTACTCTTTAACAGCACTGGAAGCTGAGCAGTGTCCTTGCGTGTTTTTTTCCAACTGGAGGAAGGGACAGGACCAATTGCTATGGGAGCCGCCAGTTCAGCATGGCGTCGACGGGCACCAGTAGGAGGATAATGGAATACGGACCTTGTCACGACGCTAATGACGACTTTGGGGGTTGCTGGCGGTACAGGAAAACAACCGCAAGGCACGAGAGAAATAATCGAAAGCCGAAAGCCAAGAGGACGTTTGGTGCGAGTAAGGCAGGAATGAAACCCTCTGGAGATGTGCACCACACACGGCAAAGCAAACGCAGACGACTCCAATGAAAAGAGAAGTGAAGAGCGGAAAGCAGATGAAGAAGAAAGGTGGAGGGAGTCCTTGCTACATAAGTGGTGGTAGAAGTAGAAAAAGGTGAAGAAAGAGGACGAGGAATAAATGTGGTGGAGTTTCCAGTTTTCGGGCAGAGCAAAGCTAAAAAAACGTAAAAACTTGGAAAGTTCGCGCCGTTCCTCGCTTTCAGGCGTGTATATTACGGTGCGCCGACGTATCGCCTGACGCGGGGACCGACCAAGCCCAGAGCAGATTTTCACACGCAGCGGGTGTTCAGAGTCACGGTACCTAGTGTACTGTGTCCGCCATCGATACTTTTTTCCCCGCTGCAGTGATGTACGGTTCGTTACTACCTGCAGCGAAGTCTTCTTTACGCCGCTAACGAGGATCCTGGCACAAGCCGCAATGGTGGGCATGGTGGGGAAGTGGAAGGGAGGGGAGGCCGACGCCATGACCGCGTTCTAGCGCATTGATGATACTATCATGTGCGGATGTACCCGAGACCAAGGTGTACTTGGTTCGCACGACCGGTTTGGCCATGTCCGTTAGGTACCAAGCTCCGCTGGAGTGACTTGCATGAACTTGCACCCTGTTAGTGCAGATCACCAATTGCGTAGGGAAAGAACTAACGTGGACTGGGATGAGAAAACATATTCCTCAGAGCAGGTAGGTAGGTACGATGCAAAACGCTCTTCCCACGCCGCGGCCTCAACATCAAGAGCAGGCAGCTTCCTCCAATTCCCACTACTTCAACCTGGGCAGGAACCTCAAATATTCAGACACCCTCCCAGCGGTTGTAGCCGGCGCAAACCCTCTCCTGTCTGGTCTAAACTGAAGAAACAGGCTGGAAGATGTCTGTTTTCGAACGGCAGGAAATGTCTGTAGCAGATGGATGTCTGTCCCTTGGACGTAAACATGGCCAGATATGACGGAACCGCTCTCAACGTGTCCGCATTAGCACGCGCATGGTGAATGTTATCGAGGCCCGGTATATATGCACTCTCCTTGATAATTCAAGCTTCTGCCAGCTGTGAACGGAGGGAGTGAATCGCATACCGGAGTTGCTTGCTTCGGGCTTCCGTCTTTCTGGCTACCGGTGCCTTGGGCGTCCAAAGTCTCCAACATCTCCCGGTACCTTCCTCTAGTAGTCAGTGCGTTCCATCTGTATGTACGTGGGAGGGAGAGCCAGGAGTCAAGGCTAACCATTATTGTGGCAAAATGCATTTTTGGTCGGTGATAAGAAGCAGATGGGATGATTCGTGGTCATTGGGGGCCTGTGATGGAGAGCAACTTGGTCGTCGGACTGGACTAGGTAAGCCCGCGCGCTCATCATTTATGTGTCTGGTGGCGGTGATGAGGAGTGTAACTTGATGGACGCTTAGCGGTCACAAAGCGCTTCCAACTCCGTAGTGAAAGCGTGGTCGGCTTCAGGCTTCTCTGATGAAGCTCCAGAAAGCTGCTTTCAGTAGGACGGTGGCAGCAGTATCAGGAGGGAGAGAAAAGATATGTACCACGAATCTTGTGAGGATGCGTGAATGGAACCTCCAAGCAATGCAAGTCGCAGAAAAACTGGGCGTGTTTTGCCCCGGAGCAAGTGGACGAATCAAGAAATGGGAAATTCGCATTGACAGGGCACAATGGGGGTGGAAAAGATGCTTTAAAGTCCCAAGAACCCCGAATGTCGTGCATCTCCAGCAACCACGCGGCGCCGCCTGTCACTAGCGATCCGTTGTATGTACGGTATGTACACCGATCTAGCCAGGTACCGACTTTTTGCTGACTGGTGGGTTTGTCCCCATGTGCCGAATGATCAAATAACAATCCCCATTCTTTAACCCCAATATGCCTCTTGCCTGTCAGCCTGTTACATGGACGACTGGACTTACGACATTAAGCATTGCTTAACCGTCCTGTCCCAGATCTGTTGGATGGGAATTCTCTCATCCAATATCCGGCTTTCAGGAAAAAAATGGTAAGTTTTCCTCGACGAGAATGGAAAGAGAGGTTTCTGTCAGCGAGAGTCGTCATAAATCCCAGCATGCACTGTTTAGTGTGCGATACAACCTTCCCCGGATCTACAGTTACCTCAATCCGCATTTTACAACCAATGGGGGCGGAGTTTAGCCGCCACGATCGAGAAGCATGATCGATGTCTTGGAGGATGCCTCGACTTTTCTTAGCTGCGTCGACATGCTACGCTCTTTCGTATCTTGACTTTTCGCAGCCAACACTCCATGTCCCCAGCACCTAACTGCGGCAGAAATCTTTCTGCCCACAATTTGGAATCCGAACCATATACACCATTCGTAACGGGCTTAATGACTGTGACCCGAGGTTTTTTTGAAGCAAATTTGCTTAAATCATGCCCATGATGTTTGGGCCCCAGAGGAGTGAAGGAGGCTTGGATGTCGAAAAACATACAGGCAGACTTTGTATAGACTGAGCGGCCGGTATCACGAGCAATTTTGTATGAATTTGGAGTGCGTATCTTTTAGCCCGTGGGGATGTCCGCAATGGCATAGATACAAATTATCAGATGAAGTGCCCAGTGCTGCTTGTTGGCAATGAGCTTTGAAGAGAGTGAACCGGTTGACTTCCGTGTTAGTTGTCACTGAAACTTTCAGGGAAGATTGTCAGCCGACAGATTACATGAATATAAAGCACGAAAGCAGCCATAGCATACCTATTGGGGACGATACGAAGAACTGCGTTCAATTTGGCACTCCGGCTCTCTAGGTAGCATTGCAGTACTCCCCGAAATTATAAGCCAGATAACTGAAGTACCTGTAAATATTGGAAAAGGTCAATCAACGGGCAGTAAGCATAGCGAGGTGCGCTTGGCACTTATCCTGTGATGTACGCTCACGCAAAACGAGTTGCAGGTTCAACTAAATACCCTCAGCCAAGTTTTTGCAGCCGACGGGGAGGATTGGGAAAAAAGAAAAAAAAACAACATTAAAAAAAGATAAAATAAAATAAAAAACAGAGTGGTAAGTAGGTAACCTACATCGAGGCATGTGGCCACTAGATAGTATCAGTATGATAAGGTATGAGCGCTGCAGCAATATTTTCCGTAGCTGGCAGCGCATAGAGATACTTACTACTCATCAGGCTGCATTACCTCCAAGGACTTGCAACTTGCCATATGAGCTGCGTAATTTCAGCTTGCAAACACGTGCCTAACGATAATGGAGCTGAAGCTGCCCGACGAGGTGCGAGCAAAAGTATCGATCGACATTCGAGCAAGAAAGTCGTTGACGAATGTTTCAAGATGGCCTCTACAGTACTGCCATGGAAGGTACCTTCATCGTGATTAGTCCCAAAACCGGCATTGGAGGACTGGACGGAATGATTTGATGGACTGGACCTTTCCTCCGTTGAATCCATTTGGCCGTTGCTACTAAAGCTTGCCCAAGCAGTTGTCCAATCGGCAGGTCCGGATTCGGCAGCTGCTGTCGGCCCTGGCCCCACTAGTGGACAAGCGTGATTAGTCATTCATGGCGGGGTTGCAATACGTACCTCAGCCAAGGTACCTGCCAGCTCGCGTGGGCATTTTGTGCCTGCCAGCGAACCATTTGCAGCTCGTCCGGTCAGGAGTGCCCCTGGTTGTCAGTTGGCATCGACCACAATGGATGATCAAGTGAGCCAACCGACACGACTATCGAAGCAGAGAAATACCATACTACCACACGAAGATCGCCAGGCACAGCTGGATGACGAGGATTTAGAACGTGGCGATGCCTGCCTAATAGTGTAGTTCACCTCACCACTTAATTTACTGTTATTCTCCTCTGCGCGATTGCGACTGGCTCTTTCTGGGGTGAAGCCTCCAATTCAACTCCCATCACCACCACCAAAACAAGCACAGATATTGTTTCATTTACACCAGATAGTGCAATATGGCGACCTCATCAACCGAACAAAGAGAGCTTGACCTTGTCGAAAAGGTGGATTTTCGCATTCTCGCCGTGGCCAACAACGAAGAGAAGCTACAGCAGCTTCTCAAAACATTCCTACCGCCTTTACTCCTGAAAGCCGGCAGCGACTATGCTTCAGTCCGCAACAAGGTCTGTCATCATAAGTCGCGCTCGTCTTGAGAGACCCAACCTGCGTAAATGCTCACATTGTCATGTCCGCAGGTCGTTCAAGTATGCCAGAGGCTCACCACTTTCATCAAACAACCCAGCATTGTACTCCCCGTTGCCGCTCTGCTTGACCAATACAAGGCCACAGGGTCACAACTTATCAAGCACTTCGATCTCGTCTTCATTCAGCACAGTATCGTCAGACTAGGTCTGGTAGAACGTCGAGAGCTCATCCCCAAGATCCTCCCTGGAATCGGCTCGGATGTGAGCGCTTCGAGAGCCGGCTTGTTCAACGTCTTCCTCCGTTGTCTTCATGACTTCAAGCTGCCGCTCAGAGGAAGCAAGGAGGATGAAACGCTCCGGGGACAAATAGGCCTTCAGGATCCCAAAGACGCCCAGTTTGTCGCCGACTGGTTGGGAAAGCTGCTATTGTTGCGTATAGCTGCACAAGGCTCTGCGAATTCCCCTGGGCTGGCCCAGTCGGATCTCCCTTTTCTCACACTGAACAAGCCCGAGACTTGGAATCCTGCCGAGTCAGGTCTCAGTTTGCCCGAGACGCGAATTCAAGCCGTCAATTTTCTCGCCAGCGGTGCTTTCACGGACCAAGAACGTTTCCTCCCGGCCATCTATGCTGCCTCGAGCTCCGATTTCCGCCTCGCCGGTGTTGGAGATGATATGCTCAAGAGAAGCAAAGTGTCGCTAGAAGACCGAGAGATTGTTCGCCAGCTCTTCGAGGCTCACTCAAGACTACCAGCTCGGTACAGGATACGTATTCTTGGTCTGCTGAGCAAGTCGGAAATATCAACTACCTTCACCGACGAGATCCTAGCAGCTTTCCGTCTAGATGTGGCCACGCAAAGAGAGAGTCCAGACGCTATGCAAGTCGACGGCCCTTCATCGTCTTCTTCATCGTCCGGGCTTGAACTTACCAAGGTACATCGGGCCTTGTTTGAGTTCATTGACTGGGTCGCCCGCATAGGTGCCAGCAAACCGGAATTCTCCAAAATCAGGGCCTTGCTTGTCACACTACTCCGGGAGTTCGTTGAGACACAGGGATGGCCTAAGCCTGAACGCCAGTCTCTTGATGACAACACACTTCGCTCCAGGGCCTACGAGACTATTGGCGTCCTTGCGAAGGGCACGGCCATGTCCGACACAGAGCGCATGGTTTTGGCTCAATGGCTGTTTAAATCTCTTTGCGAAGATCCCACTGCGGACGTCGTTGTCAACATTGACGCCGCTCTCTCCAGTCTTGCCGCAAACTTCAAACCACCTCACAACCCCGACCTGTCTGAACAACTTCACGCTCTGATCCTGGAATCCATGGTCAA